AGTTTTGACAAATGTGAGCAAAATACTACTATAACCACGATATCTAAAAATTCCCGTCACCCCCGGCCACCCCTGGGACTTCCTGCCGCACCGCCGTCCCCAGCAGCCCTGAGCCCTGATGCGTTCTCGCCTGCTAGGCCTGCTCCAGAACTGCCACTCGGTTGGGTCACGCAGCATTTTCTCTTTGCTTCCAAACTTCTTCCACGGAAGGAGCTGCCTTTGAGACCAACCCACGTCACGTGTCCGAGGGACTTACTCCTCTTTCTTGCTGAGTGTTACTCCATCGCAGGGACAGGCCACTTTGTTCGTTCTTTCATTATCTAGCGGATGCCTCATTCAGGCAGTTACAAACGAATCAGTCTGCACATTCGTACACAAGTCTTTGTGTAAACCGTGTTTCCATTTCTTTCTATAAAAGCCTAGGAGTAAATCCACGTGGTCGTAATGCCCTAAGCAGCTGCCAGGTCTTTGTCCAGGGTGACTGCATCATTTTATATCGTCCAACCAGCCATGTGTGCGCCTCCCCCACGCTGACACCGAGGAACAGCGACCTGTCTGGTTTTACTTGACCTGGTAGCTGTGCTGGAATTGGAAGGTCTCGCTCAGCTTCCATGTGCGCTGTCCTGTCTGCTCACGGTAAACACAGTTCCATGTGCGCACACATACAATGTGGTGTGTCTAGGCACATAGTCTGATTAAAACCCTCTGCCCGTTATTTATTTTGGCAAATTTCTTATGATTTCTGAGTTGTTGCTGGAGTTTGTTACATATTCAGGACATTAGTCCTTTGTCAAATGTGTTATAAGTATGCAAGAATTTGTCTTCAACAGATTGATATTTATTTTAGGATCTAGGAATGTTATGTTCCCTTGATGAATTGATCACTTCATTATTATGAAATGCTTGTCATGACCCCGGTAATAATTCTTATTTTAGTCATTATTTTTAATCATTTCAAGTCTACTTTGTCTGATATTAATATGATCACACCAGGTTTCTTCTGAACATATTTTCCCCACAACTGTATATTTACAGAGGGCTCTGGGAGAATCTGACTGAGCCTTGTCTCTATAGAATGTGCCTCTTGAGTGACACGTTTGGGTCATTCACACGTATTGTAATTCTTTATAGATCGGGAGACACTTACAATCCTGCCTTTGTTGTGTGACTGCCTCACACATGTCTTGTCTCTGTTTTGTCCTTGTGCTTTCTCTTGGGGTCACACTTTAGCCTTTATGCTTTATATTTTTAGCACTTGCTCTCCAGTTTGTAACAAGTATCTTTATATAATCTCGATCTGCCTGCAAACCCGACCACACCACTCTCGGGGTGAAGACCTCGAGTTGTTATACTTCCATTTCCGCTCTATTCTCTGTGCCCTTGTTTCTTTGAACTTTGCATAAACTATGAATTCCACAGCACACTGTCATCCTTTTTGCTCTAAAACTGATCTTTTAAGTAAATTAGATTTTTTTAAAAAACGAAGCTTTTCCTATTTACACAAATACTTACCACTTCCAATGTTCTTCATTCTCTCATGTAGACCCAGGTTCTAATGCAGCGTCACTGTGTTTGGCCTGAGACACTTCCTTGACCACTTCTTGCAGCTCAGCTCATCGGACAACCGGTAATCTCAGCTTTTATTCATAGGAAAGAATTTTTCTGAAAATATTTCTACTTTATATAGATACTTGATTGGCAGGGCTGTTTTCCCCAAACACTGTAGGCATTTTAAGGTTCTCCATTGTCCTCTGGTTGCATAGCTTTCATTGATGAGTCTGTAATAACTCTTGTTTTGGTGGCTATTCATAATGTGTCTTTTTCCTCCAGCTTACTAGATTTTTTTCATAACTTATTTTAAGCAATTCAATTATGATAAACCTTTTCTAATCCTTCTTGAGATTTTTTTTTACTTTCTCAAGTATGCGTATTTGTAGTTTTCATCAAATTTGATGATTTTTGACCATTACATCCTCACCAAGTATCTTTTCTTCCCTTATCCTTCTGGTCCTCCAATTCCATGTGTATTAGATGATGTTAATTTTCTCATGTCACTGAGGTTCTATTAAGTTTTTCAAACATTTTTCTGTCTGTGCTTCACTTTGAATATTTCTATTTCTATGTCGTCAAGTTCACTATGCTTTCTTTTCTCTGCTGTAATGTCATTTCATCCAGCAAGATGGGATTTTTAAATTTAGAAGTAACACTGGGTCCTTTATATGTTTTATTTCCTTTCTCAATGTATTTGTATTTTCTTCCACTCTATCATCATATTTATAATATTTATCATAGCTGTTTTAAGATCCTTGCCATTTCTAGATTTATTTGTATTGCTTGAATTCATGCTGGGATGAATTCCCTTCTTCTCTAATACATGGCCTCCAGCAAGCTGGTCACGACGGAAGGCCAGTGGCCGGGTTGAAGGGTTTTTCCCTCTAAATTCACCAGGGAATGAGAAAACCCCAGAGTCCAAGCTCTTCAGCACCTCCCAGCGCAAATTCCCATCTTTAGGCTACAACTTTTTCCCTAAAAATAAACACTGTCTTATGTCCCCTACTGAGGACAATTACAAAGTTACCCACAAAGTGTATGTAGACCAGGGACTTCACAGCGAACATCGTCAGGGATTTTAATGGCTTTCAAGACAGGACCCAAATGATATGCAGAATGTACTTAACTTAGTAACTCCTTGAATTCACTTCAGTATTTCATGGGTCAATAAGAAACAGAGGGAAAAATTGCTGTGGCGGCAGACTTTACAGCAGGAGAAAGCAGAAACCATCCAAGGAGACGTGAACCTTCTACACTCTGGAACGTCTCGGTGAGGCTTACTCTGTAAAAGCCGCGGTGAGCCAGTCTGGGGGCCCTGATCCAAGCGGCCGGTGTCATCTTGTCCAATGTTGTCATGAAGACCACGATCGGGGCAGGCACGTGCAAGGCACATGCTGGTGGTGCCACATTTGTGAAGCCCCTGCACCCCTTACCGCCAGCCAAGATTATTTAAGCAAGTGGACATTAATGATATGACTGCATTCTATATAGGTTTGATCTATACTGCAACAGTGCTGAACTTCTTATTCCCATCAAGTACTGGAAGTATTTTTCCCTGGAGAAAGTTATTGAATAAAAGCAACAACAAAAAAAACACCTCTAAGAACTATTGTTATAAATATGTAAAACTGTACAACACTGGAGAAAGAATTTAAGGAAGACACAAACAAATGGAAGCTTGTATCATGCTCAAGGATTGGAAGAATTAACATCATCAAAATGTCCATACTACCCAAAACAATTTACAGATTCAACACAATCCCTATTAAAGTACCAATGACATAGTTCACAGATATAGAACAAACATTTCAAAAATTTATATGGAACCATAAATGACCCGAATAGCTGTAGCAATTTTGAGAAAGAAGAACAAAGTAGGAGAGATCACAATACCTGATATCAAACTGCATTACAAGGCCACTGTAATTAAAACAGCCTGGTAGTCGCATAAGAACAGACACATGGACCAATGGAATAGGACAGAGAACCCAGAAATAAACCCAAGTCTCTATGGGCAATTAATATTTTGACAAAAAGGGCGGAAGCATAAAATAGAGTAAAAATAGCATCTTTAACAAATGGTGTTGGAAGACCTGAACAACTACATACAAAAAAAATGAAACTCAATCACCAACTTACACCATACACAAAAATCAATTCAAGGTGGATAAAAGACCTAAATATAAGTCATGATACCATAAAAGCCCTAGAGGAAAACATAGTCAAGAAAATCTCAGACATTCCACACAGCAATATTTTCACTAATATGTCAGGGACATAAAGGAAAGAATAAACAAATAGGATCTCATCAAAATAAAAAGCTTCTCCATGGCTAAAGAAAACAGCATTGAAATGAAAAGAGAACCAAAATATGGGAAAACATATTTGCCAATGATGCCTTGGACAAGGGTTTGATCTCCAAAATATATGAAGAACTCACATAACTCCACGCCAGGAAGACAAAAAAAAAAAAAAAACAATTAAAAAATGGGCAAAGGACCTGAACAGACACTTCTCCAAGGAGGACAGACAGAGGCCCAGAGACACGTGAAAGGATGCTCAGCATCACTGGCCATCAGAGAGATGCAAATGAAAACCACAATGAGATACCACCTCACACCGGTCAGAATGACCAACATAAACAAATCAACAAACAAGTATTGGAGAGGATGTGGAGAAAAGGGAGCCCTAGTGCACTGTCGGTGGGAGTGTAGACTGGTGCAGCCACTGAGGAAAACAATTTCCTCAAAAAACTAAAAAAGGAACTGCCTTTTGACCCAGCAATTCCACTGCTGGGATTATATCCTAGGAACCCTGAAACACCCATTCAAAACACCCATGTTCATAGCAGCACAATTTACAATAGTCAAGGGCTGGAAGCAACCTAGGTGCCCATCAGTAAATGAATGGATCCAAAAACTATGGTCCATTTACACAATGCAGTACTTTGCAGCAGAGAGAAGGAAGGAGCTCCTACCTTTTGCAACAGCATGGATGGAACTGGAGAGCATTATGCTGAGTGAAATAAGCCAGGTGACGAGGGACAAACACCACATGATCTCACCATTAACAGAAACCTAATCAACAAAACAAACAAGCAAGCAAAATATAACCAGAGACATTGAAATTAAGAACAATCGGACAGTAACCAGAGGGGAGGGGAGGGGGAAATGGGGGGGGAAGGAGAGAAGGGTTTTCAGGAACAACTATAAGGGACACATGGACAAAACCAAGGGGGGTGGGATCAGGGTGGGAGGTGGGGATGGCTGGGGTGGGGGGCAGGTGGTGAGGGGTGAGTACAGACAACTGTACTTAAATAACAATAAAACAATAAAATCGAATTGATTATTAAAAGTTAAAAAACACAAAAGTGAAACTATCACATACATACATGTATTTATTTCCATATCTTGAGTGAGACATATATACCACATTAATTTTACTGGAAATCAAGAGCGACAACACGAGGTATATCTCCGTGAATTTATGTATCCGAACCGTCCGCGCCACACACATGGGACTTCTGAATGGTCACAGGTCGTTTTTCCAGCCACTTGAGTTGTCATCTGTTTCCTTTAGTTTCACATATTCTTCAATAAATTCCCAAATGGTCCTTAAAGTACATAACGAATAAATATAATAAATTAGAAAAAGGACGCTAAGCATAGAAGAAAATTTCAACATAAACGTGTATTTTAGGACATATTCATTCCAAAACACAAAGTGAGTCTTTGCAACCCCCCACTTTCACTTTAGAGACTATTTTGAGTAGAGCTGCGGCCCCGAAGGCAGCAAAGATTCCCTCCGCAGTCGGGCAGGTTCCCTGCAGCAATTTCCAGAGTAAGGATAATGCGGCGGCCGAGGTAGACGTGCCTTGAAGATATTTGAAATTTAGATCCATTTATTCCCTCGGCAAGACTATGAAAGGAGCCTTCCGCCTTTGCCCTTGTGATTCCGTTTTTTCCCGCGAGGACACCCAGCATCACCAGGCCTCAGGAAACCAGGATCCACCTCTGTAGCTCACTCAGCACTTGCGCTAACACCTTTTCCCCACGACTTTCTCCATCGTGGAAAAGCTGGGAGTGACATGCTCTGGTCTCTGGGCTCTTTGCAACAAAGGATGGCGCCATTGGCCTGGGCGCATGGTGCTGGCCAATGAGTTGAGTGGGAGACCCTAGGAAGGGCTTTTCTTCCTAAATAAAACAGCTGAGCCTCATGCTGAGAAGCTTTTGCCCTTTATTCCTCCAGGGGACATGGACCCGATGCCTGAAGACAGACATATGGACGCTCGGAGGGAAACTATAGTCCAGAGAAAGGGAAAGAAGATGGAAGAACCCGGCTTGATGACGTCATTGAGCCTAGACCACTAACAACGAAATGTCTTTTTAATGTTGGAAAAATGAGCTCTTTCCACATTGAAATCTTCAGTGGTTTTCTGTTGCTCCCCAACTTTCCAAAGTTATAGGATTTGAACTGGCTACAAACTCTAAGCAGTTCAACTATATCAGCTCTAAACTTATGTAACAGATCATTTAACCAGCCACTCTATTTTTAAATTAAAAGTTTTACAGTAATACATGTGTGGGTTTTTCAAAGACTGAATATCGACGAATGCTGTGTCATTTGAGAAAGGAAAGCCACCCACAGCCACAATGCCTGGTCTCTGCCCATGAGAATTAACCTTCAGCTCTTCAGTGTTTTCCAAAGAATTTCCTTCTTTCTCGCTAAAAAACATGGAGAGATTTAAATCTCGGGCTAAGCATTCTTAAGCCTAGGCAGGGATGTAACATGTCGAGTTAAGACCCACACAGGTAAACGCTTCAGAAGTACTGCGCAGTCTAGTCTAACTTTGCGTGGACGGCGCTGAGAGGAGCCGGGCAGCATGGCCGCTCCCGCCGCGGCTCCGGCACTTACCCCTGCTCCTCCCCACGGACGTTCTTCCCCAGGCACTGCCTCACCTGGCACTCGACAACCTGCCAATGGGTAGACAGCGGCCGGTCACATGTGACAGCAGTGACATTGAATCCAAACAGATGGCCACTTCTAGAATCAGGCATCACATTGTAATTTATACCGTATATAATGGACAGAGAGATGCATACATAGTAGAAACAGAATTATAATCTTTATAATCTATTAAGTGGCATATTGTTAGCATGTACGTGGGAGGGGCGCCCCGAAAGGTGTGGGAGGAGCGGGTCCATCACACTCCCTGTAAGCAAGTCCACTCCCTGCAATTCACTGTTCTTTGTGGGAGGGTTAGACAACTGGTCAGTTCTAAGAGGCACAGTCAACTGTTTAGACAGACTTTTTCATACATTAGCTTACCCTTTCCAATGTTGAGCTGATAGCTACATAGCCAGCTCTTCCTAGCATTACAGAAAGTTGTCATTTAGAAAGCTAATGCATAGATTTCTATTTGATTTATGACATAGTCTAAGAAGGCACTATAGGAAATGTGTCTATGGAAAAACATTGATTTACAAAAACTTACATTTATTTTCCTCATTAAAATATTGTTTGTTTTTTCCATTTTTATAGCGTCGGTCTGAAAGGGGAAAAGGTTGAAAGAGAAAGAGACTTGGTTAAGAACATTTCTTAAGTAGCACCCCACTCACGGAACACAATGTGTCCTGTGAACGCCACTGTTCTGACTCCGTGGTGCCCAGCTGCGCCCCACTCAGGACGGTGAAGGGACAAAGCCTGGAGGGGCGTGAAGAGATGCTGCTCTTCCGGGTCACAGATCACAGGGGCGGGGGCGACGTGAGAAGCTAGGGAACTTCAGGGAAATTCCAGAAGACAGGGCTCCTCACTTTTCAGAACTAATAACAGAATCTGCTAAGGGGACCGGACACAACATAAAAATACATATGTCGACAAGTCACATAGATGCCGACGATAACTGATTATAAATCATCATGCAAAATTATTTCACGTTTTCATTTATAATAGTAGCAGGTGCCATAAAGTCATAGGAATAACCACAACAAAAAAATACTTAAAAGCAAAGCCTAAAGGAAATTAAATAAACAGAAAACAATCCTTGTTGGGAATGTGAATATTGTAAACTGTCACTTCTTCTCAAATAAATCTATCAATTCATGGACAACACAACTAAAATACCAAAAGTATTGTTTCTGAGAATCAAAAAGTGAACACTATGAAAAAGAATATGCAAAATAACCGCACACCGATGGTGACCAGCAGGGGTAGCCCAAGAGCCGCCCTCCCTGACGCCCGACCTGGGGCAAGTGCTGGCAGCAGAGTGACCTGCGTGTGAGCTGTGCAGCGGTGAACCAGTTGGGGAGCGAACTCCTCCTCCTCCCACGTGCTCACTGCGCCCTCGACCTGGTCACATGGCGAGTTTGTGCCTTGGTGGCCCTACCCAGAAAAGAGGGTTAATAGTAGTGTACCATTTCTTGCTCTCCCTAAGGGTTGCTGAGAATTAAATGACATGGAATTTTTTTAAATGGTCAAAGCCACATCTGGTGCGCTGTTAATTGATGATACGCTTAGTTATTTTTCTTTGGGTTAGAAAGAATGCACTTCATATTCAACACCAGAAATCAATTACTTAATAGGATAGTAAATGCGGTTTTATTGCACATGCCGTTATTTGAATTAAGGAACCAAATATGAATAATGAATAAAGTAATATGAATTCATAATATGGAACCATTATAGGGAATCTTCTTATTCATTTAATCCAATCCACTTAAAGAGATGCTAGTAGTCAAAAGTTTATATGATTTCGGCATTACGGCATGCTTATAATATATAAAGCTGTAACTCATTATTATTTTCACTGTTTAAAAATTCAACTATAAGTGGGTATCTGTTCTCAGGACATTGTTTAGTTTTGAAAAACAAAGACATGGGAAAAAAACCCACAGAAATTGGACATGTGATTTTAAGGGAGAGAGAACTCAAAACAAGCGTGGACTGCCCCACCACTTTACGCTTCTGCTGAAGAGGAAGGAACCGTGGGGCTTGGAGATACGTGTAACTGAGCAACCGCAATAAAAGAGGGTAAGTGACATCAGTGACGAACTCTGTGGCCGGATTCTGCACAAATTAAAGTGACGTGATCACATATAGAAAGTCGGGCACCCTAGCATTTCAAAACACAGATTATAATTTATAATATATCTGTTCATCAAGAAAATTATTACAATAATTGTAAAAAAAAACCCTACTTTTAACACGGGTGACTGTCTTTTCAATGGCCGTAACTCGTTCCCATCTGCCAGCATAACTGTGCAAGTGACTCTAAGTCTCTTTATGGGTCCCCGTGGCCCAGCAGGAGTGACAGTGGCTTTGGGGCCCCAAGCACATTATGCTCAAATTCAGCTGGGCCAGCTCTAAGCTGTGTCATGTTGGGGGGTCACTGACTGACTCTGAGCTTCAGCTGAAACCACTTAGCACACAGTAGACACTAAGTCATCGCAGCCGTTATTTTTACAACGATTTTCTAATCAAAATATTAAACATTTTTATAGAGACATCAACAGACCTGAAAGAGATTTGACCCTTACCTGAACTCTACAGAATGTTTATCACCTTCATTTTTTTTGTTTTGTTTCATTAGCTAGATCTCTCAATTATTCTAATCATTTGTGAAGCATTAGCTACAAGTGTTTTGAAATGAAAATTTGGACCAAACTGTATATAATTTTTTACCTTATTGCAAAATCAAATGGCTTCATGTGTTCGCCAAGATCAAGGGAAGAATAACATAAACATCGAAATAAGTAAATTGCATACCTCTATGCTTTTAATCCTGTTCTCGGTGATATGTAAGATTCCAGTGTGAACCAAAGTGGTTTTAATTTCTGTTTCAAGAGCTTGAATTTCATCCAGTTTCTGCAGTATTTCACACCTCTTCCTTTCGACTTTGTCAATCAGAGTAAGGGGCTCCTCCTTCCCCACATTTTTCTCATGCGATTCTGGGGGCGTTTTTTGAAAGCAAAGCATCACTGTGTTTAATATCATAGCCCTCAGTCATAATGTTACGCGTTACTAACAATATGATGTTATACATGGCTATACGTTTTATGTAGCAATAAAATATAATGTAACGCAATCTGCAAGCACGTTGATAGGAAGTGTCTGAGTCAGGAATGGGGTGTTCCTTTTTCAGTCCATCCCTGCGGTCACTGTTTATTGAGAGCCTCACGCAGCAGCTGACACCATGCAGGGAAGACACAAGAGTGAGTGGCCAGAGAACCGAGTCGACGCCAGACTTAGGAGATGAAGACAGGAGTGAAAGGGGAGGGGTCAGTGGAGGAGCAGAACCGGGCATATCCACCGAAAAGGAAGGCTGTTCGTTGGGCCGGGGCACTGACAGCCAGGGGCACGGCTAGAAAAGACGCTGGGGCCCCATCTGGATGAGTCTCAGAGGCGGTGTTAAGAAATCAGTCAAAGGTGTCGAAGGCCCTGGGAGAAAACACCTTCGGGAGAAACCAGGAGACCATGGTCACAGTGTGTCTGGCACCGACGGTGCACAACGAGAGGCAAGACTGGAATCAGGAAGACGCCCTAGGGAGCCACCAAGGTCATTCCAACAAGACCAGATCAGGACGGTGCCTGCGGAGTACGGGGAGCTGGAGAGACACAAAGCCGATTCAGGACAAAGGACAAAGGCAGGACCAGGTCACTGACTGGACCCGCTGCAGTGAGGAGGCAGGTGCCCAAGTGACCCCAGGTCTCAGCTTGGCCGAAGCTAGGACAGGTGTGTGGGAGGGAAGCAGCAAGTTCAGCGCAACAGAGAGGTCAGAGATCTGGGTCGGAACTGAACTTGGCCCCTTGCTACCAGCCGTGTTGAAGTGGTTCAGGGGAAAAAGGTGAAGGACGGCTGCCACGGACTTTCTGACCGTGTGCCTGGTGACCCTGTTCACTGAAATAGCCAGGGACATGGGGGCAGTGGGGCGGGGGAGGAGGAGAGAGGTTGATCGTCTTGGACATGCTGAGTTGAGAATCAGGGCCATGCTCACCAGGCAGTTGGATGTACTGATCTCAAGACTGAAAAAAAAAGAGATTCCAGCAAGAAAGAAGGTTTGCATCAAAGACACGGGGACTGACTCAAAGACACGTGGGAGCCAGGGAAGAGCAAGGCCTACAGAGTGCGGACAGGAGACCCTCGCTGGGCTGCAGGCGGTTGTTAGCCCAGAGCTCGGGCAGGCTCTGATGAGATTGGTAAGACTTACCTTTCTGAGAGAGAACAATCCTCTTCTGATGGGAAAGGAGGCAGCGAGAAAGACAAAAGACTCCCTCATGCAGAGTGACAGGACCAAAGTCATCGCTGTCCCTTAATCTCACCAAATCTCACAGGGAAGGGAAACCGTCAAAGTTAAGTTTTGGAATTTGGGGAAATTTGTTAAGCCTTGTGAGAAAAACTACAAAAGAACACCCTTGACCTCATCCCCGACCTTAGCTGAAGGCCTCGACCTGAAATGACCTACAGCAGAGAAGCCCAGAGGAGGCGAGGCCGGTCGCATGACCCTCTGTCACCCCCGTTCTTCCTAACGGGGAGGATGGGGCCACAGCAAGTGAGGGAAAAGCCCAGGGGCTCTGGGACAGGAAGCCTTCGGAAAAGCTTTCAGGAGGGAGAGCACAGGACACCAGGCGTCTTCCAGAGCGCAGGGACAGTGTGAGACCCAATACTGAGAAAAACGTGCCTGGGTTCGGGACGAATGGCAGAACTTGGTTTGTCTGCCTTGTTCTCCATCAGCAGCGAGCAGTCGGCAATGAAAACGCCAAATGACGGCGTGTTTTCAGAGACGGCAGGCGGGCAAGAGCCGGTCCAGGATTCCAGGACCTGTGGGTGAGAAGCACCCAGACCAAGAAAGAGAAACACGGGTGTGGGCAGAGAGGGCACCCCACCCACTTCAGACTCTGAGATCAGAAGTCGGGCACAGAGCCAGCCCAGGTCCGAGAAGTGGCCGTGGGGATGCGGGCGACCAGAGACAGCAGGTGACGAACACACTGCTCCTGGAAGGAGAGAAGACCTGCGGAAGGAAAACCGAAGACTCCGGCAAGAACCCTTGAGGCCGAGGCCTGCTGGGAACTTCACGCACTTAGACTGTGAGTCTGTTCTGAACCTGGGGGGAGAAAAGACTGGCCCCCCGTGAGTTGCCGAGTCGGGCTCCACAAACCTGGGGGGAAAAGGTGTTTGACTGGATCATTGTGTCAACGGTAAAGATTAATGAGCAAGAAACATAACTGAACTCATGTTGATTATTTAATCATATTTTAAGTTGTGCATCTAATTCAAGGTAATTTTTAACATCCATTTAATGCATCAATCTGTATAAAATGTGATCCATTTGCCGCGAACTGTGTGTTTTTTTGCACAAGGAAGGAGGGCAGGACGAAGAAGGAACAGGCAGCGACTCGCGGGGCCCAGCTGCGTCCTGCGCGCGTCCATTCCCCAGTCCTCCCACCGGACCCGGGAGGGGCGTGACGTCCTCCTGCCGACCTACAGTCTGGCCGCTGAGACTGGCCGGGTTGAGATGACGAAGCTCAGATCCTGGGGAACCACCCGTCACGTTGCCTGGCCATGCAGCCTGTCCCTGCACCCGCCACTGAGTCACCCTGGGAGAGGGGTCCCGCAGTGGGCAGAGACCGAGAATGGGTGTCCCAGACCGGGGGCCCGGCAAACGCGGACAGCCTTGAGCTTGCTGGGGTCTGCAAAGGTGGACTTCAGTGAGCGAGGGGCAAAAACGAAGGTCCCCTTCATGGCTGTGACTCTGAAACCCCCGGAGGCCCCAGCCCACATCCTCAGGTGCCCACGAGGACGTTCGGAGCAGGAAGCTCCACGTTCCGGAGCCTGCTATGTATTTTCAGATACTTTCCCTGGGATGAGCAGCGTGGAGTCCTCCACGTGGGATCTCAGCCCACGTCTAGGTCATCGGTGTGTTTCCCAGGATCTATTTCAAATGTCTTGGTCAGAACTTGACATAATTCTCTCCACCCAAGGTCCTGACCTAATCCACGTTCCCCGGAAAACCGCACAGCCCGGAGGCGGGGGTCGGCTGCAGCCCGCAGGCCGCACATGGCCCAGGATGGCCATGCCTGCAGCCAACACAAAACTGAATTTACTGAAAACACGATGAGATGTTTTTGTGATGGCACGCCACCATGCATGCATTCGCCCTGTGGCCCAGGACAACGCCTCTTCCTCCAGTGGGGCCCAGAGACCCCGCAGGGTGGGACCCCTGCTCCAGATCGGTGCCAGTGTCCCGGCCACTGCCGGAGACCACCCACAGGCAGGGGACCACCACAGGACCTGGGGTGCCGGTCCCGGCCCTGACGGGAGCTCTCAGACAAGCTCCTCCCCGCACCCCCAAGGTATGTTCTCGAAAGCACGTCAGACGAACAAAACCTCACCGTGTGGCGCAGAACCCGCGCTCTCCGTGGTGGGGGGCAGCAGCCCGCGCTCCGCCTCCAGCTCGCTCCGGAGTCTGTGGTTCAAGAACAAAAGCAGTGAAATATTAGAGCCCATTCATTCCTTTTTCCTTTGGGTCACTTCATGTCTGTTTTAAATTGAGAAATAAAAACGAACCCTCTTGTTTTCTAACAAAAAGCTCATTAGACAATGTATATAAAGACACATATGAGACCTTAAGTGTCAAGTTAAAAAATCAGAGACTACTTCCTCGCCGAGGTTGCACAAACCACTATTTAAAGGAGCCCATTCATGTAAAATAAACGATTTTCCACATTGTTTATCATCGTTATTTTGCGACATGAATTCCAAAAAGGCAAGGAGGCAGAATCCTAGCATTTTCTACTCTGAGGCAAACAGCCCGTCAAGGGCGATGGAAAGGTCTCGCTGAGGTCGGAACAAGATTTCCTCTTCTCCTGCATCATGTCCTCATCCGCAGATGCAATTTACAAATGCTGCTGCATTTAAACTCAGAGTGAAATGCAGGAAATGGTGAAATAGGAAAATAAAAGTCTTTGCAATCTCTTCCTCTGTATCTTCTTCCTGGTTCAAAGTACACGATATTGACTCTTATTTCTAACAGGTTTAAAGTGAGGAAAAGAAAGGCATCTAATGCGCTGTGTATACTGAGGGGAACCTGTGGTTCCAGTAAAAACATTAACCGCCAAATGACTGGATCCTGCACGTCCACAGGGCCTCACAGTCTCCAAAGGCTTTCACACTATTGGCTCATTTCGTCACAGATTAAAAAAACAGAGAAGTATTGTGACCCCTAATTTTAAGAAGCTGAGGTTAACTGGATAAATAATAATGGTAACAGCCGTCTCACTACATAAATTCAGTGCGTTTCGTTTCTACAAGTTTTCCACGTGGCACAGGTTTACCCATTACGTATGTTTCTATGTCATTACTTCTCCTTCTTCGGGGACTTGAATTACAGGTGCAGTGGATTCTCTGAGGGTCTTCCACTCTGACGCTGTCTGTCTGTCTGTCTCTCTCTATATATATATGTATGTGTGTGTGTGTGTGTGTGTGTGTGTGTGTACATATAGATCTCTCTCACTGTCTTGTTTTCCTGCTTTTCTCCGCTGCCCCTTCAGTGAGTTTCCATTCACACGTCCTCCTCGTCCATCACAAGCCGCCATGGAGTCCTCACCTCTGACTTGGACTTTGGGCCTCCCTCCTCAGTTGTCACACCCTGTTTTGCGTCCTTTCTCTGTGGTTGACATCCGTGTCTGGGGTCTGAGTTCTGACCCCAGGCGGCTTTCACAGCCCGAAGGCTCTCCCGAGGCGCTGGTTCAGTTCGGATTCCGGGGCAGCTTCGCCAGCCGCTGGCTGTCCCCCCAGGACGGGCATTTCCATCGGCTGAACTGGTCGGATCCTCGCTTTGTGCTCCCTCCTTACGGCGGATTCCACGGACAAGACACTCTACGCCTCTGCACTTTGCGAACAGGGCCGGTGCCTGGGGGCAGCTGGCGTGTGGACTCTCTAATTCAAGAGCAGCTAATATTCAATGCGCTGTGGTTTGGGTTTTTTCTTTTGTTTTAATCTTTATCTGGATAGGATTTTTTTTGGGGGGGAAGAAAGGCAGGCTGGTAGTGGGAAGGGTTGAGAGCCCCACAAGTGTCTTCCGCTGTGGGGTTCTAAGTCTCCCTTAACTGCTGCTCTTTCTACACCACGCGGTTCGGAAGGGCGGTGATCACCCCTCCCACCCCCCTGCGCGCCCCCCACCCCCGCATTGCCACCACTGTGGAACTTGCTCAAGTCCACACTCACCGTTAGTCCTTCCTCCCGGTCAGTGCCCTGGGGACCGACCAGGCGCCTCTGCCACTCCTCACCCAGGAACACCCCCTCGCTGCCGGGCAGTGGGTCTAGAACATTCTAGGGCATCTACGGGCTCCCTCCCTTCTTTCTTCCCCACCGGTCCCTGCTCACGCAGGTCTGCAGCAAGTGACAACGCCTGACACTCCATGATTATTTCCTATTTTCAGGTCTTTTGAATTTTCACAGCTTTGTCTTATCTAAGAGTTACGCTGAAGTTAGAGGTTTCTTTGAGGGTTTTTGTTTGTTTGGTTGGGTGGTTTTCTTTCTTGTTTTGTTTTCTTGAGGAAACTTGGGGTATGTCTGATTTGCTTTAATTTTTTTCAGTCCTTTGTTGTTTCTTCCTGAAAGACCTGCACACAGAGAGGTCAACGAGTTCCTGAGGTTGAAGGACGAGGGCGTTCACGGGGTGTCTTTCCAGCTCTCGACTACCACGTGAAGCCCCCGGGGACCCCCAGAAAGGGTGCGAGAAACAGAAATACCGCGCCGCCTGGACACGCTCCAGGCCTTCGAGGCCTGGCCACCCGTGAGGGCTCGTGGGAGAGGCCAGAGGACCGGCGTGGAAAGGGGATGATGCCGTCGCTGGTGTTCAGATGTCGCGAACTAGGTCAGCCCGACGCAGACCAAATCAGACCGTGACCTCACTTGTCATTGTGCTCCAGGGCCGCCTTGGTGGCTGTCACGAGCGCCCTCAGCTGCTCCTGGGCCTGCTGGACGTCCGAGGTCTTCACCGGCCTCCTCTCCAGCCCCTTGGCCTGAGCCAGCAGCGCCTAGAAGGACAGGGCCCACGGGCAACACAAACACACAAGAAGAGTGAGTATTTGCCTTTTTTGGTGATTACAGTGTATTCAAGCCGTTCTGAGTCAAAACAGAAAGTGAAATGAGGTGAGTAGTGGGGAGGCCTGAGGGGTGAGGGGGACAGTTAGTCACGTGAAGATCTGGGTGACGCATTTGTCAATATTTCACGGTTTTATTCTCCTAAGAAATGTTTCAGGTGGTGGGGGTCCCACTGCTGGCTCGTGTGTGGGAAGAACGTGCCGATCAAGCACTTCGAGCCCGTGGCTGGGGCACCACGCGCGTCTTCCAGGAGCAGTTCAGTGCAGGGGCACAAAGCAACGCCGTGAGGTGAGGGGCGGCCACAGCTCCAGAGCGGACAGCAGGTGCCCTGTGGCCCGGGGATCCCTCAGGGGGCAGCTGGCTGACACAGGGGCACGATGTCCCACCGTGACTCAGCCTCAAAAGGTAAGAAACCGGGCCAACCCGGCCGGGGCCTACGGTGACGAATCCTGTCCCACCCAAGTGTCTTCTCCTGCCACAAAAAACCCCAAAGCAAAGCAAACAACCCACACAGGGGTCTGAGATGAAGAAGGACGCTAGAACTGCGTGTAATGCTGTGACTGTGTTGATCCTCACCTGCAGTATGTTCACTGGTTTTAGAGAGACGGGAAGGGCTGGGGGGGGAGGGAGAGAAACACCAATTGGTTGCCTCCCGCGTGCGCCCTGACCAGGTATGGAACGTGACACCTCTGGTGGGTGGGACAATGCTCCACCCAGCGGAGCCACCTGGCCAGGACACACACACACACATTGGTCACTGGTTTGCAAATAAAGCACAACAGGGTAAGCCCAGCGTAGACCAAACCGGACCACTCACCCTCCCTTCTCACTGAGTCCAGGGCTGCTTTGGAGGCCAGCACGAGGAATATACATTTATTTGTATGTATGTATGTATGTATGTATGTATACAAAGAAATACATACACACCAGCACACAGAAGTTATGCAAACGGTGCCTGTCAAGCAGAGAGTGGTGAGTGGAGACCAGGGACCGGAAGGGTCAGCCAGCAGGAAAGGCCACTAAGCATCAGTGACCAGAGACACTGGCAAAAAACAAGCCGTGCACATTTCCCACGGCACCGCTGACTCTGCAGTGAGCGGCAGGTAAGAAGTAAATCCTTCACCAGCGTGTCCAGCAGCCAGTCCAAGGCATAACCCTTACGGCCTGAATTACGTAGGCACGGAGCGGGGTGCTCGGAACCCGTGAACCGGCAGCACTGGGCCCGCTCTGGCGCCCGCAGGTGAGTCGTTACCTGGTGCCGCTCCGCGGGCCGAGTGCTCAGGAGTATAGCCATGTAGAGCTCGTACTCGCCCTGCAGAGAGAGGAGAGGCCCGGGGCTGTGTCCTGAGCCGGCACGGCAGGGTCGGGCGTTTCGCGTGCATGAACGATGCATCGGCCTCAACCACGTTCAGAAGACAAACCATTTCCACGCCGCCCTAAACCAGGCGCACACTCCAGCACGGTCTGAGCGCCTCTGAAGCATTTGTGCGTTTGAACCACCCGTCCCCGCAGACCAGTGCCATCAAATGCCTCGACCACATACACAGGTGACTGCCTGCCGCACGGAAGCTCCGTGGGTGTGGGTGAGTCCAGCCGGGGACGAGGCTGGCCCTTCCCGTCACATCCTGTCCCCGCAGGGCTGCTTCCTCGTCATCAGGGACCGTGGAGAGCGAGCTGCGTAGACACCTGACTTCACCTCGGCCCCCACCTGGAGGTCTCTCTCATCATGAAATTGCAGCAAACGTGTGCTCTCCTAACGGTTCATAGAAATTCCGCATGGGTGTGTATGTTACATATGCACGATTGTGTAAATCTGCCAACGACGGGGAAGCTTTGGTGAAAAACACGGCTCTGGGGCCGAGCTCGCAGGGTGTGTGCAGCCCGAGGCCCACGGTGCCCGGGCGGCTGCGGGCTCAACCCTCCGCGCCTCTGAGTGGTTTCCCGAGTCTGTGGGAGGGAGGCCGGGACACGGGCAAGAACCCTGGTGAGGCCTGAGGCTGTGTGTGCGGAACATCAGGCCTGGCTCCCAACTGCCAGGTGGGAAAGGTAGGCTACTTACCTTAATCTCCTTCAAGAGGTCCCCAAATATCAAAGAACTCTTGCAGATGTCTTCAAAGACTCCGCTGAGGACCTGGAGTTTGTTGTCAGGGTGGCAGGGGCACACTCTCTGCAGCTCCTGGAGGGGAACCAGAGCCGGCCCTTCAGGGCACCAGTCTCCCTTCCTGGGTACCTCCGGGCTGTGGACTGGAACCCCCACGGGCTTCCATCGGGGCCACAGCCCCGACCGCCCCAGGACTGGGCCCCAGCAGAGCAAGGAGGCGACCGGGGGCACCTGATGCCCTGTACCCGCTGAGAACCTGCAATGGCCTGCTCACCCGGGGGTCCTCCTTGACTTTTGTTTCCTTTATTCGCTCCCCCACACCCTGCAGCCAGGGATTCCCTGTCTGTGCCCACACGCCCCCACACCTTCCTCTCTCCAGCAGTCCTCTGGTCAGCCCACACCTGACCTCTGTTCTCCTTCCCGCACCCTCCCCTCTGCACAGCAGGCTGGGGCCCCCATTCCCTGGGCACCACCCTGGGCAGCTCTCTGGGCTCCTCACGTGGCCCTGTCCACCTTCTGCAGACGCGGTGGCCACTCGCAGACGTCCCCTGCTCCCTCTCCCTCACTTTGCTCCACCAAGGCAGGAGACCCTTCCCTCAGGGGTGCCGCAGCCTGTGTGCGTTTGCTTACTACCCTGCCCGCGGCTCCTCACGCTCAAATCCCAACGTCGCCTCCCACGTACCGGCTGCCAAGCTCAGCCCTCCCTTATGTCGCCCCAGCTGTGACCACCTGTGTCACATGGGATGTCGTCAGTGACTGGCAGTTCTGTCACCTTCTACCTGGGCGAGGAGTGAGGTGTCCAAGGGCCAGACGCTGCCCACAGCACCCAGCCGCCAGGGACAGGAGCAAGCGTGCCCCCTGCAGGACCACGGCACCGCCCCCTCACCTGTTCCAACTTCCTCTCATGGCACGTCGCTGCCCTGTGCCCAGTGAAATCGGTCACCAGGCAATCTTGCGTGGCAAGCACTTTCCTTTGGAAATGCAAGAACTTCCTGTACTTGTCTGCTTTGGTCAGGCCGGCCAAGTAGGAGCTGAGGTACCAGTACTTGTCCTTGCCCCGGGGAGACATCACACACTCACGGCTGGACCGCACCGCCTGGGGCTTCAGGATTTTCATCTCCGGCCACCGCAGCTCTTCTCTCCTTCGCGGTGTGACGCCCTCCTCCGCCAGTGTCAGCTTTGGAAGGACGTCCTCTTGGGAAGCGTGCAAAACGCCGGCCGGGGGGTTCAGGTACCTGAAGAGGGGTGTGCCGGGGCCATCGCTCGGACCCAGAGCCGTGTTGATGGTAAAATAGGCCCAAGCGCCCTTCATCTTGGCCACCGTCTCGTCGGACGGCCTTTCCGCCCTGCGGGCCCGCCGGCCCTCCGGGCTGTGGGCGTTGCGCCAGTGGCGGAGGATGGCCTCGGGGGGCCTGTACAGCTTGTTGGGGTTCAGGTGTCCGGAGGTGTAGAGCAGGATGTCATCCCGGTGGCTCTTCTCGAGTCTGTTCAGGAGCTTCGTGAGGTTGCACAGGGTCCTCACTCCCGGGGCTTCACAGTGCTTCCACCGCAGGTAAACTGCAGGGGAGACAGAACACGGTGACACCCACCCCGGGGCCGCAGCAAGGTCCCGGGGCAGCAGCTCGAGACAGCGGAGCTGGCGGTCCCCAAAGGGGAGCGGACCACACAGAGAGGGGGACACGGACACCCACTCGCCGGCGGCCCTTGCTCCGAGGCAGAGACGGGAGGTCAGGGCACATTGTTTGCTCCTGGAGAAAGGAAGGGGCGCCCGGACGAGTGAAGAAGGGAGACGGCGTCTCCTACAGTCTAACCACCTCCCCACACGCAGCAGCAGCAGCCGCAAACCCTGTATCAGCTCGCAGTTCTGCGGGTCAGAACCGCAGCCCAGAGGGCTGAGGCCTCCGTGCCGGGCAGCAGCTCGGGCAGGAAGATGCGGCCCGGCCCAGCTGAGTCTTGGAAGCTGGGGGGAGACTGCCTCCAGACCCATCCCCGTGGGTGGCACACTCCAGTGCCTCGCAGTCCTCCAGTCACTGTAGGACCCGGGGCTCCCACCCCCTTGTTTGCTGCTGTGGGTGACTCCGCCCCCGGGAGCCACCCACCTCCCCAACACATGGCCCCTCCACCTGGGAGCCAGCAGGGCCCCCACAGCCTTCCCACACCCTGTCTTCTGTCCTTCCTCTCGCGATAGGCCAGGCCCCCCCCCCCCCCCCGCCGCTGCCCAGACAATCTCCCCAGTTGGGGGCCACCAGGGCCGGAGGACACAGCCCAGGGGTGGAGCACTTCCTCCTCATGTTCACAGGCCCTAGGACTCTGCCAGGCGTGTCCACCGAGGGGACAGGGGACCTGGGGCCCTCCCGGAGCTGGGCTACCTCAGGGACACCCCCAACCACGATCCCAGTCTCCCTGACACTGTCCCCTGTGGGAACCAGTCTCCTGTCCCGCCTGTGGGGTCAGGGACTGGAGTGGCTGCCTCCAGCAGGTGGTTGTTGAGAAGCTCGCCGAGGGTCAGCACAGCTCTTCCCGGAAACCACTCAGGGACCGTCAGACAGCAACAGGACACTTCTTCAAAGCCGATCACCGTCACCACTTATCACAGGCGTCAGCACACACAGAGTGCGCTGACGCCGCACCGAATTGCTCAGGCTGCTCCAGGAGACAGACTGATGCGTTTAGGTGGACAGACAGACAGACAGACAGAGGTGCACAGGCTTATCATGAGGGGTTGGCTCGCAGGTGTCTGCAGTCCAGCAAGCCCACAACCTGAAGTCGGGCCAGCAGCCTGGGGACCCCATTCTCGTCCGAGGGCCTTGGCCAGAGAACCCCCTCCTCCCGCGGGGCCAGCCTTTGCTCCTTTACATCATGATGAGCCCAGAGCCCTGCGGAGGACCTGAGGCGGGGGGCCGTGTACCGGGACCAGGCAGAGGCCGGGGCTGCCAGCCGGTGCCCAGGACCACAGGGCACCACTGCACCACCGGAGTGTGCAGGCACTTCCGCCCCCCCTCGCCCTGAGTCCACTGCTTCATGCATTTTGGTTTATCTGGCAACAAATTCTTCTTCCTAGTTTTTAATTTACAGAACAGGAGCTTATTAAGAAATGCCAAAGTAAGACGGGACACTTTTCGGATTCCGGCCACCAGGTAGGTGCTTTTGCACAGGAAGGGCCTGGCGGGAGTCCTGGGGCAGCTCCTGACCGGCCAGCACCTCTGATACAAGGGATGGAGGCAGACGGCTCAGATGCAGACACCTCGAGCCCTGCTTGTCCTGCCACCTGGCAGACGACAGACACCCGCAAGTGCGTACAGAGAAAGTCGTGCAGAACTGCCCGAAGGACTGGCCGAGAGCCCGAGACAGACCTCACCACTCGGAAGCCAACAAGGGGGAAGGCAACACGCTCAAGTTCACGGCCCGAACGGCTTCTCACACCTGTACTAGGACGGCTGGCCCAGGGACCAGAGCGGCAGGGTCACCGAGCTCTTTGTGGAGAAGAGGGTCTTATTAACCAGGAGAAGCAGTCGAAGAACTCACGGCAGGGCAGGTGCTGTTGCCCCCCCACCTTCCAGACGGGGAAACCTTGTCGGGGACAGTTTGAGTCACAGGTGGCAGGCTGCGTGCCAAGCCATGCACACAAGCACAGTTCTACGTGTGCTTGGAAGCCATCAAATAGAAGTTTTATAAAAATATTTGGTAAATTTTGCTCAGTCCAACCAGTTTCTCTCACCCCAGAGTCCACCTGGGCCACCGGCCCCATTTCCCTGCACACACAGCGGCCTCAGCGGCAACGACCTAGAGTGAGACTCCCCACCTGCCCCCCACTGCTAAGTTCACAATAGCCCCGGGCCAAAGAGAGACCCCAAATAAAGAGAAAGTGCGGCACTTGGTGCCAGGGGCTGGTGGGGGCTTGGCGAAGAGTGGGGGGGGGGGCCTGCACCGCAGAAAGTGCCCCACAGTGTGGCTTTTTTAAAGGAATATGGGAATAGGAGCCAGGAATCTCTCCCTCACCCCCGCTCCTGCCAAGGACAGGGACACACACACCCACACAGGCGTCTGATCTGCTTCCTTTGTGTGTTGCAACTAGCTTTTCTGTGTAGGCCACTCAACCTCAAATCAGTCCTAACCCCTGGGGGTGCAGGAGCCGAGATGCAGCCGCGAGGAGGAGTGCCATCTCCCACGCGGGGATCAGAGCCGCAGGTCCCCAGGCGGTGCAACATCCAACGCACACACAACAGCAGACGCGAGACACTCAGTGCCACTCACAGTCTGGCTCCGAGTCCTCAGCCATCGCCTCCCCGAGAGCTGCCCTCCTGGCCACCAGCCAGGCTGGGGGTCACCGAGGAGACGGACAAACATTCCGAGTCCCTCCCACCATGGTCCCCTGCTGCCAGGCAACGGGACAGGCAGCCCCACTGCCCCACAGCCGGCGTCTCTCCCCTGGACCCTCCCTCTCCCAAGCCTCTCCCCTTCTTCAGCTTGCCGGGTTTACCTTGTAAGATAAAACACTCTTTGTAATTTGAAAAATCTCCCAAACACCCTTGCACTCTAATTCCTCTCAAAGCCCCGGGAGCTGAAAAGCTAAGTGGTCTTCAGTTGGGGATCTTGTGGAGAGGGGCTCACACTGCACCGTGCACAACCCCCACTGTGCCGGGAGCTCTGGCACACAGTAGGGGCAGTGCCTGGAACTCTAGCAGAGAGTGGGTGCTGTACCTGGAGCTCTCACCCAGTAGGGGCTGCATGCAGAACTCTAGCGCCCAGTAGGGGCTGCATGCAGAGCTCTAGCACATAGTAGGGGCTGCGTCCAGAGCTCTAGCACAGAGGAGGGGCAGTTGCTAAACCATTGGGTATTCGTTTCAGTGCAGTGAACCACAAATCCCCTAGCAGGACACTGAGACAAGCTGAGGTACAGGAACTTGCCCGAGACCAGGTAGCAGGGAGAAGGAGGTTTGCTTCAAGAGCTGCACCCTTCCTTTGGGCCACCCCAGGTCAAAGGAGGCAGAGCTCCAAGGCTTGCCTTGTCCTACCTGAGAGTGTTCAAGGGCAGAGGCTCAGTGATGGGCTGCTCCCAGGAGACTGACTTCATTCTTTTTTCATAAATTACTTTATTGTTGTTGGGTTCCAGGAGACTTTAAAAATGCGCCCCCACCACCTCAGGCTCTGTACTGAGAGAGGCCACACAGTGGCGCCCAGAGCTGTGGCCATCAGGACAGAGGGCACCTGGGAAGGCGCTCAGTCAGTTTCCTCTCTCTCTGTCCGTGCTGGCCAGGCACTGTCCACAAGCGCACTCAGAAGCCACGAGGTCACCACAACTCCACACGCTCGGATGGCTCCATAACTGGGTGCACCTGAATCTCACCTGAATCTCACCTGCAGACAGGTGAGGAAAGTGTTTGGGGTCTTCCCTCCCCAGGGTTGGCGCTGTTCGGGGCCCAGCCACAGACAGAAATGCTGATACAGAAGTGCCCACTCTGCGTCAGGGACCCACGCCTTGGCGCTGGGGAGAGAATGCGTCGTCTCTGACCCTCCACTGACTATAAACTGGGGTCGAAGCCGCGGCTGCCTGGGTGCTGTCGCACAGTGGCTGGGTGTCCTGTAGACCGTAGGACATCCCGCAGCCTCCGCCCTGCGCAGGTGGGCACCTTCCACCGCCAGGCTCGGGGACGGGCTCCCAGACCCTGGCAGAGCCAGTCCTGGCCGCCCCCCCACCCCGGGGCCAGCAGGTCACGTCCAGAGCCCAGCCTGCGAGGTCCTGGACCTGTTCACGAGCACATGTGAAGATTTGACTCACCTCCCGTGAAACTGCAGAGTCTTCGTTTGGATCAGAAAGACGACTTATCTGCTCCCAAGACTTGCGTTTCTGCTGAGTTGGCCTCCTGGCAGGGCACATGGACAGTTGAGCTGGCCCACCCTCCACACGCTACAGGTCAACAGGTTGGTGGACACTAAGCCTTGAAAACCCACCTGCGATGCTCCCCCTCCTAAGTGCTTCCACAAAGTGTTCGAGGCACAAACGTATTGACTCCGTATGTTACGGTGCCGTGAGTTTATCCGCCAAAGCAGACAGGATCTTCCCCGAGGCCAGACCCGGATATGAGAATCGCCAGGAACTGCGCGTGCAAATTGGGCGTGCAGGGGTACGGGTTAGTATGGTGCTATTTTGTTTCCCGGCTCTAGATGGCGCTGCAAGGCACGTGAAAATACTTGAGGAAGCGGCTGCTACCATGCAGCTAAAACCATCATTCCAACTAATTCACTTTTCCACGCATCCGTCCAACTTCCCTGTGTTCAACCAGGGGAAAAAGGGGACATTGTCTGCTCTGGGAATTCCATAAAAATGCAGAAATGCACGATTTATCTCCTGCTGGAAGCAGCTCCAGGGAGAGGAGGTGACGTGCTCTGAGGGTGGGGGGCCTCTGGGTGGGTGAGCAGCAGTTCTTTGTCGTTGAAGGGGGAGGAGCCTTAAGTGCAGCACAGGCTGGATATCGGTCAAAAATAAACGTGTTCAGTCACTGCTTTTTCGCTGTTAGAACTTGTGCAAAATGGAGGAACTTGCGAGGCCTCTGTCCTCCTCGGTGCTGTCTGAGCCCTGGGGGTGTCTGAGGGGCACCAGGTGGCCAGGGCTTGCACAGTAGCCTGATGGGCTAGGGTGCAGGAAGGTGTGGGCCACAGGGGCACACACAGCAGGCGGGGGGGGCACGCCAGGGCGGTCCTGCAGCCAGCAAGGACCCACTGAAAGATTTCATGGGGGAGAGAGCTCAGGAACTTCAACTTCAGAAAGAGAACTCAAGACAAGGTGCGGGAAGGCATTCGGGGCCGCACTGAGGGGGTCACACTGCCGGCCAGCAGGAGGCGCAGGTGAGTGGGGCCAGCTCTGACCCTGGAGCTGACAGGGGGGAAGGAGAGTCCTCCACCCGCCGCCCCCAGGCCCAGGTGCCAGTGGCTCCCCACCCGTGTCCTCTGGCCTTTCTGGGGTCCCCATGGCCAGTCGTCCTCCCCCCATGTCGTCCTGGGTTGGAATGGAAGTGCTGGTGATTCTGCATTAAAAACAGTGAAAACATCTGTGACATAATGACTTCTCACCTGACATCTTGGTTTTCCAGAGGAATCTAACCATTTAGTGAGGGACGGAGAGGCAATGAGAACAGGATCTGACAGGGGTCTCACGGGGGGAAACCGAGAGGTGGGCAGAGCTCTGCCCGCCCCCCCACCCCCAGGGGCTCCAGGGAGAGTCCGTCCAGCCTCCTCAGCTCTTGGCTTCTGTCTCCGACTTCGGATCAAGAGATGAGCAACAGCTGGTGGGTGTGTCTCACATCACACTCCTCTGCCTCTGTCCCAGCTGTGAGGGGCCCTCATGACAGCATTGGCCACCTGGACACCAGGACACCTGGACACTGGGCCAACCAGACACTGGGACACCTGGACACTAGGAAACCTGCATGCCAGGACACCAGACGCTGGGACACCAGGCAGCTCAGACACTGGCAGGTCACTTCCTCTCTTGACCGGGTGAAGGTCAGCCGATCAGAGCTTCCTTCCACCTGCCACCCCACCCCAACTGTCCCACAGCCGACATACCACCTGCTCCGGGTGTGAGGCCTGGGCCTTTCTGGGGACCGTTATTGTGCCGACGGAGCCCTCCACCCGAGACGAGCCGCACGGAGGCTGCAACCCGAGGCTCTAGGCGCAGAGCCGGTGTCGGCACTGGGACTGCAAGGCGAAGGCACCACCAGGGGTGAATGCAGACCCGTGCTCAGACTCCCGTCTGAGGTCACAGCGGAGCTCAGGCAGAAGCCAGAGCGGCGGGCTGGAGGCCCTGCTGCTCTGGGCTCATTGGAGTTCGTTTTTGTTGTGTTGTGTTTGTGATTGGACAGATCTGAGCAGGTTTGAGGAACTGGGCTGCAGGACGGGAAACGCTGAAAATGGGAACATTCGGTCCCAGGCCTGGTGCAGGCCTGAAAGGCATGGGGCAGCTGCCCGAGGGACACAGGGAAAGTCCCTGTCACTGCAGAAAGCAGCGCAGAGCCAGACAGACCTCCCAGTCACTCCACTGCTAAGGCACAGGTGACAGCGAGCCGTGTGTCCCCACCCTCCGTGGCGTCAGGAGCAGGCAATGGCTTTAGGCCCAGAACCCTGTCCAGAGGGGCTTGTCAGAAGCCAGACACCTTGTATTGTGGCCTCTGAATTTCCCCAAGGGGCAGCAGCAAGCAGCGCCAACACCAGGGACGTCACCGAGATCGCAGCAGGGCCACCCTCTCGGTTCACACCAACAGCTGTGGGACAAGGGGATGTGTGATTGCCCACCAGTGGCTTTCAGGAACACATGGCCTTGCTGATGACTTCCTGTTCCGACCGTATTTTGCACTGTCTGTGTTTTCATTGAGAACAGAGTTGCACACACTTGATGATAAGTAATAGGAACAGCAAAGATCGGCTCTGTTGCAAGAGCAGGTCAGGGCAGAGGGGCGCTGCAGCCAGGCCCCGCACCGGCCTGCTCGCTGGCTCACGACTGCCCAACCCCTGAGTTTCACTCTCCTACCCTTTCATCGGGCCATGACCTGCCTAATTCACAGCGTGGCTGTGAGGACTGCATTCGTGCAAACACTACCTGCAGTGCCTGGCAAACTAGGGTTTGCTGTGTGTTAACCTCTGTTATGAGTCTCGGCCTGCAGCCCATGACAGGCCGGTCCCCGGCAACTTGTCACTGACGGGGAGCTTGTCCTACAGACAGGGGGCCAGACCTCCGAGGGAGGCACTGAGGAGGCAGGAAGTGAGTGTGAGCTCATTCTGGCGGAGCACAGGGTGTGGCCTTCCCTGGGAGCCCATGCACAGCGCCGAGGGCCATGCACTTTCTTCAGCTGAGCCCCGCAAGCGTGCCAGGTCCCCACGTGCCCGCCCACAACCTTGACTCACTCCGTCTCAAGAAAGGACCCAGAAGACCACAGCGAACTCCAGGGGTGGGGGCATCAAACACAGCACAGGGCCTTAAGTCAACTTCTTTTAAGAAATAAAAATTCTCCCCACTGAGCCACGAGGGTGTGAACATGAGGATGCAAGGTGGCTTTTTTCAAGAGAGTGACAGTGAGCTCAGGAGAGGCTGTCAGAAGAGACTGCAGGCGCCTGCTCATGTGGCCTCGGTAGCAGAACTTGGATCTTGGAACAGAACTTACAAAGCTACAGATTTCAGGAGAGTTTTCATAGAACTTTCTGTCAACTAGAGCTCCAACGATGGCCTGGTTTACATCACAGGAGTGTGTCCTGCACCCCTGGAGAGGGGGTTGTGGGTGACCCCCGGTGCCACCTCCAGGTCACGACCTCACAAGGACAAGACTGAATCACCCACCCACAGGGCTTCGGACACAGGGTGTTTCGCTGTGGTTTCTGCTGCTGCCGTCGTCAGCACAGGTCAGCCACCGTTTAACATGTTAACATGCATTAAATTCTCTGCTGAAATGTGTGCCTTTCCACCCATGACAGAGTGGTCACCAGGCTCCAAGCACAAGGGCTCAGCACAGCTGCAGACACCTGGCCAAACACACGCGGTGACCAGCAAACACTGGGGAGGTGATGTTTCAGGTCAATTCCGATTTTCCTCTCCAGTCCTTTTCCTTCCTCTGCTCAATGCCCGCCCATCAAGGGGGCACCTGAGCTTGTTCCGGGGGCAGGTGGGGAGCTTCGGTCTGGCGTGTGGCTGTCCCGGGCCGCCGCAGGCCGCAGAGCCACTGCAGGAGCCCTGGCTTGGCCTCAGGGCCGTCAGCCCCGCGCCCTGATGCAGCTCTTCTAGAGGGGCCACGGCTCCCCGCTGAGTGCCCACCCCCTGAAATCACACAACAGAGCTAGTAACCACCTAGGAAACTGAGCGTGCCTCAGCCCTGCTGCTAGCCCACAGCGGAGCAAACCGCCCCATCCCTGCTCACAAACTTGGCGTCTCCCAGCAACAGGGCCTGGGGCGTCGGCCACGCACCCTCCTGCAGCCCCCGGGGCCTCCAGGACACGCAGGCGCCTCCTACCTTCCCCACAAATGACAGCACGTGATCAAGGAGAACGGTGGTGTTTTAAAAACTCTGTATTCAATTATTCACACTGAAGGGTAGCCATTAAAATTATGAACATCTCTAAATATATTTCATGTATCGTACATATATATACTCTGTATGTATAGTTACATATGGACAAGACTTCTCGCTGCCCCTAAGCGTGAGTGGAACGAAGGCAGGCTCCGCAGCGCCGCGCCCGTGTAGGCACACGCACCGGCTGCTCGGCTGACGATTTATTTACAATTCGCCTCAGGTTATAATCAATGGTTATCGTTCTATCGTACAGACGCGATGGGAAAGGGATCTTTTAAATACAAAGACTGCAAATGGATACGTGAAAAATTACACACATGTACAGTATGTATAATTTATAAATGCAGAGTTAAGACCTCTTCAAGTTATTGCACTTGTGCATTTTACAAAGATTTTTGTTACACGTATAAAATATTTTTTGAAATTCGCTCACTCATCAACTACAATGCAGTTGAAATTCTCCTTCCAAAACAGAGCCCATGGGCACTTGGGGTACAGACCCTCTGCCTAGCAGCCGGGGTGGGGGCGCTACAGTCTGGACCCCACCCCACGGGGGCAGTGTGGCTCAGCGGAGAAGGGGTGGCCCACAGGCTCTCGGGGGCTGAGCCTGGCAGGCACACGCGCTCCTGTGGACTTGTGAAGAAAGTCACCTTTTCTTCTCAGAAAGAGTCAAAATGCTGCATTTCTACACATTTCGGTAACTGTGTCACAGTGTCTGGAGGGAGCATATTATCTCAGACAGGGCACAAGTTGGGTCTGGTAACAGGTGGGGGGTCGCACAGCCTGGCCTTCTGCAGATAAACCTGCTGTTCCTTCAGCCAACGCACTGACCAGACGCACGGAGCGGCAACCGCACGTGCAGCTTCGGGGGCCACCGGCCCCACACGTCACCGGCCGGCTACAACAACGGGGCTGCAGTGCCTGCCCCGGCACGGCATTCTGCGTGAGCTGGAGCCCCGGATCGCACGCTTAGAACTTCCATTACGTCACCAGCAACACAAAGCGTCCACTCTAACTTCTGTAGACAGGCTGCACCTCCCAGACACGAGCTGAACGTTGGCCTGGCCTGGCGCCCGACCCCCACCTCGGCCACCTGCCGAGCGCGCGCGGGTGGCTAGGCCTGCAGGCGGCAGGTGCCCCGCTCTGCCCCCGCCCCCACGGGAAAGCAGTCTCAGGGAGGAAGAAGCTTAGCATCCGAGTGAAGAGAACCATGCTGCTGCAGATTTTCAATGTGTTTCTTGGGAAGCATCTGTGTGTTTCTCTTCGGTCCATCTTTTGATGACTTAGAACCACAAGACTGGTTCTCATCACTGTTTTCATCATCACAGAAATGCATCTAACGCTTCAAACAATCAAAACGTCCAGTTAAAAAAAAGACGGAAAACAAGAGTGTACTTACTGGACAGCACTAATTCATGAAAACTTAGGACGAGTCTATAAAGAAACCGGCAAAATGAGTGTCAGGGTGAACAGCTAGGCAGATGTAAGAGCAGGGCTGCCCCGTGCCACAGACAAGCCCGGGCGAAACCACCGCCACATGCTGGGCGGCTCGCCCTGCACGGGGACTCGAGACTCAGGCCCTACTTGCAGTAGGAGGGTGCGCTCGGTGACTAGATCAATGTCTTTGAAGAATTAAACCCTAAATCAGCGAGGTGCAGAAAGCAAACACGTGTCAGAAATATATAAAGATAGAAGTGCTTCTCAAAATCGAAACCCTGCACCTGTGCCTGGAGCCCAACACAGCCACACGGTCGCTGGTCACCGTTCTGGGAAGGACCGAACCGCACTGGGCCGCTCGCCGCTGCCGGTCACAGCAGCCAAGGCGGGTAAATCGGGTCACAGGTAGGGACCTGTTGGGGGACTGAGGTCCCGGTCATTCAACTCGGTGACTTTAACCAAGAATGGGTCCCTTTCAACACCTTCAATTATAGTTAAGAAAAGCAAAATAAGAAATAGATGAAGATAAAAAATTACAGTATTTAAAATAAAGGCACAGGCAGGCACGGTGAATGATTTAGTCCTATTTAAAGTTCAAACCTTAAGTTCGAGTTCAAAGGCGAGAACGTAACACTGAAAACTATGTTTGTTAAACACCTAGGTAGTGAGAAAGACGTGTGCGGCTGGGCTGCCTCGTGTGCACACATGCCTAGCGTGCCCGAACATTCCGAAGAAGCCAAGTCCACTGAGACTGCACAGAAGTTTTTAAAAACCTAAAAATCATGCTAAAAAGAGGAAACCTACACTACACGAGTCTCCTTTCGAGGGAGTTCTGTTCTGTGGCTGTGAACAGTCGCCTCGCGTGGTCTCGTCCGACAGAGGGCGGCAGAGAGGAGGGGAGACGGGGCCTTCGCACATGCGCCTAGAAAAGCCGTCGCTGGGGCCCGGGCCCCATCGGCCCTGGAAGAAGGGCCTTCCCTGACAGCCCCCTTCCAAACCCAACGCACTCCTTTAAAGCTGCCGCCGTCAGGCACATGAGAAGACGCCTGCATTTTTCAAATGTTGTTTCCACTGCTCAGGATCCGTGTTCCATGCTGTTAGAGTGCATTGCCAAGAAAATTTCTAGTTAGAAAATAGGCTCGTTATCTCTGAAAAAAATAATGGAATAACTGCATTTGGTGATAAAAACTGTGTCCATTATAAATCAGCACAACCAATGAAAATGTCTAGCAATCGAGCCTTCTACCAATACTTACAGACAGTTACCAAGTTTAGACTGAACAGGAAATTTAGCCCAACAGAAAATGCCAGCTTAGTGAGCAACTAATCAACCCTTTTAAGAAAAGATTTAGGAGGAAGAATGAGAACACCACTACAAAGTCTGCCTGCTAAACAGACCTGCCGGAACAACACAAACACACGCCTCCCTGCACTTTTTTCTCCAAAGCAGGTGACTAAATATCACTAAATTACCCTGGGAGGACTTATTTTAGACCAGCCTGTGACTCGTAAGTGAATCTGACACCTGGTGACAGCAGCAGTAACAGCGCTAGGACACGGTCCTCGGCTCAGACTTTGTTTCTACTGTAACAGTATTCCACAGGACACCCACGAACCGGGGCGTCCAGCCACACTGCCGGGAGACTGGTTGGAGGTCCAGGCAACGCAGCTGGCTGTGCCGAAGTCAGAGAGTACCCTGCAGCCGCTGAGTGAAGCAGCAACCTTCAAATGCAGGGCGGCCGCTGGACCCCCGAGCCGAGCTCTGCGTCCAGAAGCAGGGCTCACACACCCGCTCTCCTGCAGTCGGCAGCCCGTGTAACCGGAGTCCTCACCGGCATTCCACCCCCGCGCAACGCCGTCTCCGAGCTAACTAGCTGGCCAAACTGGCCTGTTTCGCTGGGGAAGTTTCGTAACTTCAGATGCCAAAAAGCGTGACATTTTTAAAAACTCAACCTGCAAAAAGACTAACATGGAAGAGTGCTACTAGTCAGCATTAGGTCAAACACTATTACGTTCTTCAACACAAAAACTCACTGCTTTTGAAGAACGTGGCTGACGTTATTTTTCACAGATGGGTTTGCTTCTCTCTCACACGTGTTTGTGTCCACATACGTGTCTACATGCACACGTGTACAGCCACACACGCGTGTGTACCTAGCCGGAGTGGCATTTCTGTTTCATTCGACCTCCCGTGTAACCACCACAGCAGCGGGGGCTGCGTGGAGGGGAGGCGGCAACTTTCAGGGGCCCGTACGGAAACTGAACACACGGTGTGAATTTTAAAAACAGAACAACATTTACGTACAGCTCTCTTTGCTGCAACGTAAATAGAAACAACTGATTAATATTTGCAAAAACCAAGCTATATGAACACTGTGTACAGTATCAAGTGTGTAGGAGAGTACTGTAAAATTTACTTTGTTAAAAGTACTCTTCCACTTCCCTGCCACACGAAGAGCGGATCTGCTGTGGACTGGCCTTGTCACATTCTGGGACAGCCAATTCCTGGAGGTCAGGACCACCCACGGGTTCCAAGGTCGGGGGTTGCTGTGCCGTCCCAGTGAAGATCTCTGTAGCGCTGACCACACCGGAATCGTACTCCTTGGCTGACAGTCTTCGTGGGAAAGGGTCCACACTGTCGCTACCTTTGTACACGCTCTCAAACGTTTCCACTGTGGAGTGACATTAGCCAAAAAAGATGCAGGAGAAACTCCCCAAACGACAGGTTTCTGTGCAGACATGGGTGCTGAGCAGAGCAGAGCACAGAGTTCAGCTCTGGTCGCTGCTCTGGGCTCTTCTCCTCCCCTGTCGTGCGCCTGGACTAGGGCGGGAAGACTGAGCAGCAGGGGAGGGGCCGGGGAGATGCTGCCGCAGGTGGGAGAAAAATTACAGAAGACAAAGTTGACGGTTTGAGTGTAGGGAAATGACTGCTGATGAACAACTTGCTGAATCAACCTTTCACTTTGAATGAGACTCTAAAATTCTGCAATGACACAAAGTGAAAATATAGAGAAATCATGATTGAAAACTCATTTTTATCTGTAAGACTTGTCCACTAAAAAAATCATACATCTTGCTTTTATTTTGTTCTTTATGCAAAATGACTAGCGAATTTGCCAAGACTGCAATGAAAGGTTTTTTTAATATTCTTTGACATCCTCTGAGTCAATACGAGGACGTCTGCAGTCACCCCGAGTGCGAGTCCGCAGCTCTTCTCAGGGGGCGGGAGCCCGCTGCCTGCCTGCGGCTTCCAGCCCGCCCACCGGGGCCCCTGGGTGCACTCGGAGGGCCCGCGGCAGACCCCGCCTTCTAGTCTGTCAAGTTGGGAAGCAGGAACTTGTCCCCCATCACGGGCTGCAGATAGAGCCTCTCGGGCAGCAGCCGCGATGCCGCCGATCCCAAGGCGTCTGCTACAACTCACGCTACGCACAAGCAGACCACACAGGAGCGTCCACAACAGTGATGTGTAAAAACCCCTAATTTATAACCAACAACATCGAAGCAACACTGGTGCTGAGTACAGCGGCCAAAGTACAGCATCGTCGTAGTACCATTTACACCCTCCCTAGAGAGACGCAGTGGGAAGGACCCCGGCCGCCTTCGTCCGTCCCCTCGAGGCCTGGGAGGTGTCAGCCCACTGGAAAAGGCAGCTTGCGAGGCCAGTGCAGCCCCCCGGACGCAGCTTTCTGGCCCCAGGGCCCTGCCTGGCCACTGTCTGGGATGCGACTCCGAGGAGACGGGCGGGGAGTCCTCCGTGGGGCAATTTACTGGGTGTGACCTTCTGGGCGAGGCTGGCATCCTGGTTTCTGAGTGTAGGTTCCCCCACAAAAACAAAAGTCAGAAAAGTCAAAGCAGCGGGACGAGCATCTGCAGGCAGCACGGCTCAGGCATCAGTCGTCGATCTTGACGGGCAGCGTCTCCGAGGGCCCGGGGGCCGCCGGCTGGGAGGTCAGCCACACGGCGCTCTCCTCCCCGCGGAGCACCTTCTCCCACTGGCTGAGGTTGTTCCTAGGAGACAAGACGCAGTGACAGTCGCTGCTGAGACGCAGTTTCCCGACCACGTTCCAAGGAGAAGCTGCCCCGCCCCGCCCTGCCCTGCCCTGCAGTACCCCACCTTACGGCTTAGCCCCGGGCCTGCAGCACTGCCCCGCCTCTGACCATCACCCGGCTGGGCCCGGCAGCCTCCCCTGAGCCGTCCTAGGACGCCAGAGCTCGGTGTCCCAGAAGAGCTTCGGATCACCAAGGCCAGGGGCTCCTGCTCCCTGACGGCAGGGGCAGAAAGCAGGCTCAGGAGAGGTCACGCTGGACGGGCCAGAAGGAGTAACAAAGAAGTGTGCCGTCGGGTTACTGTCAGGTCAGGGGGTCAGCGGGTCAGGGGACATTAGGAACAGCCAAGGCGGCTGGCCTCCATGGGGCATCCCTGCCACATGACACTTGAGGCCTGACAGCAGACTCTGTCCCATACGGAAAGTCACCACGAGCTGCAGCTGGTGTGGACTCCCGAGTCTCCATGTCTCAGTCACACTGTACTTGAGCTCTGGGGACTCCGGCCCCAGTGCAGCTCGGAGTCTCCCTGAGCTCCCTGCCCTTCTCTCCCCAGGCCTGTGCTGCCCACGTGGGGGCCCCGCGGCTCCTTCGGTCAGGCGCCAGCCACCCGAAGGACTCGGCTTGCCCAGACTCATGGTTACAGAGAGCAGGCTGACAGATGTTGGAGGGGCGAGGTTTGTGGGGCTGGGAGAGAAAGGTGAAGGGGGTAAGTGAGCAAAAAACCAAACAACACCCCCCCCGCCCCGATACAGACAAGAGAACGGTGAAGGGCAGAGGGAAAGGGGCCTGGGAAGGTGGGGAAGGGGGGGAGGGGGGAAGGAGAGGAGGCTCAGAGCAGCGCACACACAGCACCGAGCGCAGGGCGTGTTACGGAGCCACACCCATGAAACCTGTGTGATCCCATGAGCAGTGCCACGTCAGTAAATTCAGTATGAATCTCAATGAAAGATGGTGGCTGGTCATGGAGAACTCGGACGCTGGAGCAGGTGGCAGACGGCTCCCGTTCTCTGACACGCAGCCACCCCCGTCAGAAAGAAAGGTGACCCCAGTCAAGGACCCCGTCCCGTCCTGGCCTAGGCTGAGCTCCCCTCCTAAGCAGCAGTCTGGACAGATGTCACTGTCCCGTCTTTTCACACACAGTACTGGGGTGAGGAGGGGGGAGGGAGGGGCACCACCAATTCCTTTTTCTAAAAAGGCTTGGTCCCTTCTGGTGACTGAAGGATTCCGTATTCCTGACACAGATATGACTCCTGGGCACATGCACAGCCGTGAGATGACAGCTCGGAGGTGAGGCACGGACACCCACCACGGGGACGCCGTCCGCTCCCTCCCCGCCCCCACAGGCCGTACCTGCAGGCGTGCAGCAGGGGCTCCGTGGGCGGGAAGATCCGCATGAGGGTGGTGTAGCAGGGGATGGCCACCGCGTTGTAGAAGCCGAGCTGCGCGGACACCGGCAAGAGACACGGCAGTTAGCACCTGGGGCCCCGCCGCACTCCCCGGCGCGTCCTGCTCCCCGAGCCCCCTGAGCCCGACTGTACAGCCAAGGGCTGAGCTTTGCTATGGGGCATCGGGGCTCCAGACCACCCCTGCGGAGTGCCTGTCAAAATGCACTAAACACACCCCACAAGTGGAACACAGAAAGGTTTTAAACATACGGAAAAAACCCGCTGTAAAACCCCAGTGCAACATTCAACAGTATCTACTCATAGGTGAGTCAGATCACGGCTCAGGTGCTGCTCTCACCTCGGGTCCAGTTCGGATTCTCCCAGAGGCAGCCTGGCGGAACCGCCGCGCCCGCACACAGACGACTGGCACTGAAGAGCCCCGAAGGGCTGCTCTGTGCTTGGTGCCAGCTTCAGTGCCTGGCCCGGCCTCCCGAGACTGCACTCACCCCTCCCGCCCTCGCTCTGCCCTGCACCCCGCCGCCCCACCGCCTTGTCACGCTTCTCTCCGCAGTCCCGTTCCAGTTTTTCAGCTGCGGCACTTTCAGAGCACAGGTTAAGGAGCGGTTTTACTGGGAATTCCGGGCCATCGGCCAGCAAATGATGCTAACTCTGACTGGCCTGCAGACAGACAGGTGGACTAATAAAAGTCCTGCCCGGCTCCAGGCCATCCGCTTGTGGAGCCAAAGTAACTGCCCAGCGGCTGACAAACACAGACAAGGGATCACTGGCCCCTGGGGAAGGTGACCTCCAAGCCGCAGCCTAACACCACTTAAAAAATGAACTTCGACGACATGTGCAAAGGATCTACAAGGGTCAATCCACCCGCTTCCTGTCTGCGTTCTCCTGCTGCCGGCTCGGCTGCCTAGTGATCTCGGGAGAATCATGTCTGTGCTTCTGTCTTTAACTTTATGGCTCACGTGGACACGTGCCGGCTTTAACGCAGGCTGTCCAACCTTGTGGCGTCTCTGGGCCACATTGGAAGAAGAGTTGTCTCGGGCCACACACTAAATACACTGCAACACGTAATCACGAAAAAGAAAAACCTCATAATGTTCTAAGAAAATTCACAATTTCGTGGGGGGGGGGTGCGGGGCATGCGTTGCCATCCTGAGCTGCATGCGGCCCAGGAGCCGCAGGTTGGACACCCCTGTTCACAGACCTCCGGAGCAGAAGATGCTGAGGAAAAGGTTATATATTGGAAAGTAGAGTATCTTATTATTATGGCAAAGAATAATTTCATAGGAACCACAATTTAGAATACAGTTGATAAAATATTGGTTGATCACAGAAGTGGTTTATTCCAAACTCTCTCACACTGTAAATGAACCTGTCATTTTGGAAAAAACAAACGCTTCTCGTAATTAAGTGACACCGGGACACAGCCCAACCCTGGACGTCATGTTCGGCCACCCGTGCGTCCTCCCCTCGGGATGGCTGCTGCAAGATCCAGAAGAGAGACACGGTCAGGTCGCTATCTTGGGTTGTGTCACGTGATAAACTCCAGGTAAATAAATCAAGCGAGTGGGAAGGGATGAACAGTGAGTGGAGAGAGAACCGGCGCACGGGACACGGTCTCAGGGTGGGGACGCCTCCCACCGTGCGGCAGGCCCAGCAGACCAGGCGCCAGGCGGGACGGGCTCACTGCCCACTGCGCTCACGGGAAAGCGCCCTCGCCCAAGGTGGGAAGCCACCGAACTCGGAGCGTACGTGCCGCCTGCACACTCCGCACGCCGGGCCCACAGTCGGACACACTGTGTGGGGACATCGCGCCGCTGCGCACTGAAGCCACAGCCAGGCCAGGGCGCGGAAGCGCACACGCAGCCCTCGCCACGTCGGCACCTTCTGCGCATTGGCGTCTGTCCTGACAGTTACCCAACTTAAATAAAGCAGGAAACTTGGAGAGCCCATTCAAAACTGTCATCCTGTGAATCTTCTGAAAGCATCTCTACCCTGAAGTCCATATGACAATTATTTGTCCATAACCAACTTCCTTTGGTGACATTAGACAATCGGTGGTTTAAAAAGACTGAGAAATTTATTATACCATACATGCACATGTCGGAAATTAACAGGGCCAAGAACTCTCCAAAAATAAAAAATTAACATAAACTACGTATTTTTATGTATATTACCTGGAGAGGAAATGAGTGTCAATTTACGATGACACAAAATGAGACAAATACGTACTAAGATACGACACGTTATTGGTTTAGAAAAGGTAGAGCCGTCAAAATCTATGATGTTACCCTCCCCGCCGCAATCTTTGTATGTTCAGTGACAACATGTTTTCTGCTTTAACCACCAACCCCATCCATCCCCTCAATTCCGAGTCAGAGAGGCACGCCTGCGCACTGCTGCTCCATCTGGAGGGGGACGGGATGCCCAGGTTTCCAGGGGCCTCAGCTCTGCGCCCCGACTGCCAGCCCTCCGGCAACACCCTCGGCTTCCAAGGTCGGCCAGCAGCCTCGGGGACCAGCCCAGAGGTGGGGACACCAGCTGGGAAACAACTCCCTGTCAGAGCCCACGCTCCCATCGCCGTCAGCGACACACCTGAGCGCGCCCGAGCACGGGAAGGCTCACTGCAGCCCGCGGCAGGCACCGCCACGGGCCACCTGGCTGGTGCTCATCCCCCAAGAGGACTCCCTGGGGCTCCACACTCACTGCCGGGCCTCGGGCAGCCCAGGCACTGCACACAGAACTCAGGGTGGGGCTTGCTGGTTTCCCACGTGGGGCTGAGGACCGCCTTGCGGCTCGGTTCGTACCTGGCCTTGGGGGACTTCGTTCTTCTTGTCCCTGTCCATCATGGGGATGGGCTGGATCCCCAGCTTCTTCATCTCATCGCCCTGCAAGAGGTGGGGACAGTCGTGTGTTCTCAGCTTGTCCGCGGCGACACGTTGGGGCACCCAGGAGTTCTTCCCTGCACCTATAAACTGTCTCTGAAATGAAGCTTGTTTCTAGAGACCGACACAACAGAAAGCTCCACCAACGGTAACGTGTCATCACTTGGTTTTTACCCCGAGTCCCCGCACTGAATGCCCAGACACCCAGCTGAACCTCTGGGTCCCGCGTGCAGGAGAGAGAAGTCAGAGAGAGAGGAAACACAGTGAATGAAGGGTCAGGAGGAACAAGAACAGAACGTGGAAGGACTTGAGGGCCTTCCCCTGTTCCTAAAAAACTCCCCCCAGTGCGCTGACCTGGGTGCAGCCAGGCGCCGGGGGGGTACCAACCCGGACTGCGCCGGTGAAGGTGTGGTGGTAACCGGCCACGCAGCACCGTCAAGGGTGGCACTGCGGGTGTCCACTGGAGAGTCACTGTGCCGCAGGCTCTGGGCCGAGTGACCTGCATGCCCTCTGTCCTCCTTGTCTCATAAAATACTCTGTGCTCAACCAGCCTTTCGAGGTGCAGGGGCCGGGCTCCGGCGGGTTAATTCGACCCGCGGAAGTCAAGTCCACTTACTCGCCGTTCAGAAAGCGAAGCGAGGAGTAAGACACACACTCCTGGCCGTTCAGAGAACTCCGTCAAGAAAAGGCGTTCAGAAACAAGTAATTTACACCAGTCGGCTGCGGACCGACTGGCTGCTCTGGCAACACAGCCTGTGGCACAGGACAGTGATGCTCTCGCGTTCCTAACTGCAGGCGTGTGCAGCGGGGACGCACGTGTCCCTGGGACACTCAGTGCCCGCGCCCAAGGAGACGGGAGGCAGTGACTTTTGAGTGAGTGAGGACGAGACCCACTGCTGAACCAGGGAAAGGGCTGCACCGTCACTCCTTGGAGCCACCCCTGGGCTCTTCCCGGCGAGCCCAGAGAGCTCACACTCTCGTGGGAGTCCGGGACAGTGGCGGGTGGCCTCACTTTTTACCTGTGTGCTAAACTCGTCACCGCGGCCTCGACGGGAGTTTCTGAAACAACTTGTAACGTGAGCAGCACACGTTACTACCTCACCGACACCTTTATTCTCTCTCTTTCCCCATTTCTCCACATCACCTAACTCAGCAAGAAACCAAGGACCTACCTCAGCCCAGAATTCTGCATATATGTCGTTTGCCGTCAACTTTGTCACTGGCCACAGCTTTGTCACAGAACAAAGGTCGCAGGCAGTCATCATCAAGCCGATGACACGGTCCCTAGAACACAGGAACGCAGACCTGGTCAGTGCCTGTTCGTCACACTGAGGCCCCGCAGGATCAGCAGCGAGGCAGTGACGTGGGTGCCTCCTGTGACTGCAGGCAGATGCCCTGGGGACACTCAGCAGCCCTAATGTGACCAGAGCACTTGGTGCGTTTGTGATGAGGTGGTTTCTGAAGCACTTTGTGGTTCAAAAGAAGAAGGTTTATTTCTGGATTTGGGCTTCTAAAGTAACAAGTGTTAACTGTTTGTTCAACAGGTAAATTCACTTAAACAGAAATGGTAACATGAAAAAAGCTCTTATTCTGTTTACAAATAATTATTTCATGACTTTGAAATCATTCAAACTCATTCAATCTATATTTACAAAAAATTGGCTATACATTCTAGTAATCTTTATGTAATAAATATTTTGTACCTCATAAATCTATGAAACAAAAACGCCTCAGTAACTAACTGGACTCTATGAATCACCTGGCACCCACTTTCTCTCCGGGGACAGCTCCGCAGGGAGCAGGTCAGGGCTGGGAAGAAGACGAACGGGTCATCATCCCTGAGACTTCACTGTCAGCACTGCTGAGGCAGAACAACTCCACAGTGCTTATTTCACTATTCACCAGTAAGTAAATAAAGTTTACATTAAGTACTTCTAATAAAGAAAAGTACCAATTTTTTCCTCTTTAATGACAAATTAGTTACAACTTTTCCAGTTCTGTTTCTAAGTTGTATAAAGTATTTTTCAAGTATTTAATGTTGTGTCCTTCCTTTGATATGCACTTAAGTCTAAAGTAAGAAAAATCTTTGGAAGAAGTGGGGCCAAGGAATTTTTGAAGGGCAGAGGTATTCCCTGGGATTCAGTCAAAATAAAATAATAAATCTAACTCGTATCTTTGGGCGTTGCTATGACCACAACTCTTGGGAAGTAAATGAAAGATGAAGATCATCTCTGCAGAAATAGATGATACATTTCAACAGTTACAGTAATTAAACAGTATGATCACAGTTAAAAACTACATAGTTTGTATTCGATGGCTTAACAAGTCCCGAGAGTTGGTCAAGTTTATATAAAAAAAAAATAAATTCAATTCAGTGGAAAAATAAATTATTAATTAAGTAGTACTGATTCAACCTATCTGGAAAAAATAGTTACTCATAAAACTACAACCCCAAAACATTAAGCTCTAAAATAAGAATTAAGACTATATAAATACACAAAGAAAAATTTAACTACTGGTCATATGACCTGAAAGACAAGTAAAATAGAAAATGAGATTTGATAAAAAATGACGGATGTGGCCTTATGAAATTAAATTTATTTGTATCAAAAGAAAATCTGGACAAGGGGAGCAAAAGAAAAAATAAACAGGATGACATCGAACTGAAAATTTCTGCACAGCAAACCATCAACGAAATAAAAAGACAATTCACGAAATGGGGGAACATACTCACTGATACCTCTGATAAGGGGTTAATATCCAAAATTTATAGAGAACTTATAAAACTCAACACCAAAAACAAACAATCCAATTAAAAATGGGCAAAGGACCCAACAGACACTTCTCCAAAAAGAACACACAGAGGCCAACAGACATACGAAGAGATGCTCAATGTCACTAATCATCAGAGAGATGCAAATTAAAACCACAATGAGATACCATTGTACACCTGTCAGAATGGCCACCATCAATAAACCAACAAACCACAAGTGGTGGCGGGGAGGCAGAACAAGGGGACCCTTGGGCACTGTGGGTGGGAGTGCAGACGGGTGTGGAGATATTTCAAAAAATGAAAAGTGGATTTGCTTTTCCATCCAGCAATCCCACTTCTGGGAATGTATCCAACGGAACCCAAAACACTAATTCAAACATAAGCACACCTGTGTTCACTGCAGCGTTACTTGCAATCGCCAAGATATGGAAGGAGCCCAAGTGTCCATCAGTAGATGAGTGGATAAAACACCTATGGGACATTTACACAATGGAATACTACTTGGGCATTAAAAAGAAGACAATTTTACCCTTTGCAACAGTATGGATAGGCCTGGAGAACATTATGCCAAGTGAAATAATCCAGTCAGAGAAAGACAATACCATATGATTTCACTCATATGTGGAAAACAATGAACAAACTGAACTGAGACTCACGGATGGAGAGCAGGACGACAGCTAAGGGAGGGGGAGGTTGGGGGTGGAGGGACCGAGCAAAAAGGACTCACAGACACGGACAAGAGTGTGGGGACTGCGGGGGGTACAAGGGGAATAAATGGTAATGAAAAATACAATAAAAAATATTAAAAAACACGTAAACAAGAAAAAAAGAAAGAAAATCTGAATATACTGTGTTGGCCAAAAAGTTCATTTGATTTAGTCTGTAAGATGGCTCTAGTAATGTTTCCTTGTCTTTAATTCATTTGAAGCAATTCAGTCAAACTGTATTGCGACAGCTGTCATAACAACGTGCATTTTTTTAAAAAACTTACCCAAGATGTTGGAGTTTTGGGCAGCCCTTTTAACATCGAAGATGGAAGGAAACATGCAGCATTTCGGCATATTGTGCTTTACTATTTCAAGAAAGGTAAAAACGCAACTGAAACACACAAAAGAAGTTTGTGCCGTGTGTGGAGAAGGTGCTGTGACTGACTGAACGTGTCAGAAGTGGTTTGCGAGGTTTCCTGCTGGAGATTTCTCGCTGGACGATGCTCCACAGTCGGGTGGACCAGCTGGAGTCGACAGTGATCAGATCGAGATGTTCACCGAGAACAGTCAGCGTTCTACCACGTGGGAGACAGCCGACACACTCAGAATATCCAAGTCTATGAAGCTACTGGTGAAAATGAAAAATGTGCCTCTTATCTTTACAGAAAAAAGTAAGTGAACTTTTTGGCCAACCCAGTGCCTTTTGAAAAATTACCTGAAAAAAATGATTGTACTGTATAACAAATTTTAATCCTTAACAAAATATACATTGCCAACCAATTTACAAAGTAAACAATTCAACAAAAATAAGGAAAAGCTATGAGGAGGCGAATGGAAGTAGGAGCAGCAGTCTGTGAGCATGAAAGACCCATGTGGGGAGCTGCCCTCGACCAGCACCATCAATGGGGCAGCTCTCCCCGGAGTGGGAAGGTGAGTGCCCCCACTGTCCTTCTGGAAAATGCAGTGTGTGTCCATGTCTAGCAACACGTGTGTGTGCTGTGTATTTTTAAAGGACCAGTAGGTAAGACTACGTAGGCAAGAGTTAGTTCAGTGTTATCGATAATGAAAAGATCTATGTGGAACTGTGCATCATACATGACAGATTTAAATAAATCTTTACATAGTTCAGAGTTTCAGAACTCTGAAAAAAGAAATGTACTTGGCAAAATCACATTTTTGTTTTAAAAAGTGTGGAGTGAAAGTGTGCCCACATATACATACACGTGCACACGCGTCTCCTGTGTACACGCAGAGCCTGGTGCCCCCTGGGCACTGAAGGACCCGAACCCCTCGTGCTGGCTCTGTGTCCCCAAGACAGAGCTTTGACACCACGCGGCTCTCTGCTTGGTTCTGACCACGCAGGGTGCCGATTCTCCGAGGCTCAGAACTGGAACACGCATTTGTGAGACCAACGAAGTGCAGTTCCAGTTCCGTGCAGCAGTCACAGGAGCTCGGCTGGCACAGCGTGGGCGCTGGAGGACAGACCCTCTGCACTGGCCCTGGGGCCTGTGAGGCCTGGGCCGGCACGAGGCACATGACCAAGCTTGTCAGGGGTTCCCCTCTGAAAGCACGCCTCCCGTGTGACCCACGTAGGGTCTAATTCATATTCCAAATCCCCTCCCAGTATACTGTCAGAGATTTTGTCAAATAAAAATACCCAAAGTCAATGAAAAGTGCACATAAAACTATATATATACACACACACACACACACACACACACACACATATATTTACACTTTAACTTTCAAATATAAACTTACGCCATGTTACATTTGTGTTTAAATATACATTTACTCCAGACCCCACTTCCTGGGCTCCTAGCCTCCCAGATTTGGGTTACCTGTGTGACTGGTTATTAAGGTTCAGCGAGCCGGTCTGGTACATCTCCTCCAGCTGCTTCCGGTTCCCGAAGTAGAGCGCGAGGTCGGTGGCGATGATGGCTTTGCGGATGATCTCAAGCACCTGCTCGTACTCACTGGAGCTCAGGGTGGAGAAGATGTTGTGCCCCTCCAGCTAGGGGAGAGACGGAAACCAGCAATGACGCGCACCGGCTTGGACCTAGCACATCCTCGTCCCCAGAAAACGAGAGTCAGTCGGTGGCAGCTGGGCCACAAATGACAGGTGTAGGGAAACAAGGAGCAGCCTGAAGTGACCAATGGAATTCACGTCTGGGCGTCTCCTGAGCTACACCTGTGAGGCTGTTCCTTCGGTGAACTATTGGAACCACAGTAACATCATCTGCTACCACAAAATTGCAGTGAGTTAACTATGTACCTGGTTTGGGGACATTTCTGGTAAGTAATTAAAGGACTGTAAAATGTTTCAGTACAAACTATTCTCCCTGAATCAGAAGTGGTAGTAACTTTTACATCACACCGAAGATTACTGGGCTGGAGAGTCACCTGGCCCCGGCCCCTCGGGCACACCCAGTGAAGAACCGCGCTACCGTGTCCTCATCCGCAAAGCAAACACCCCATGGTCCCAGACGACAGCGCCCGGGACTTGACATGCACCAGTCACCGAGGGGGAGGCCGCCTCTCTGTCCTCAGGGACCTGACTCAGCGGGGCAGGTCTCCCAACAAGCCTGGAAGGGAGTCTTTTAAAAACGCTTCTCAGTAACTCCTCCCTCTGAGAATGTAAGTTTTTTATTTGTAATTGACACAAAAATGGGTTTTTGCAGACAGACTGAGACGGTAAGACGCATTAAATCTGTGCACTCATCAGTCACTTTGTCACTTCATTGCCGGCCACTGCAGCCCGGCATGCGGCTGACGTCAACTGCTCTCACTTGTCCTGAACTCATACCTGTGGGCCGACAAAACACAGTGGAACTGGAAGTTATCAGAGGGCTTCTTTGCACACCTGGGCACCTCGGCAGCACACGGCCCACTCCCTGCCACTGTCGGGAAGCTGCTGGCGCACCGTCTGTGTCCACCACAGTCTTCCTGCACAGCCCGCTCTGCTCTGTCGCGGATGTTTCCGTTCCCCCGCGACACGGCCGCAGGCAGAGGCAGCCCGGGCCGGCTCTCCTCCCTTCCGTCTGCCCGGCACTCGAAGTCCACACGGCACTCCCGATGCACGGTCCCTCTCCCAAATCACCACACGCAGACACTTGTCCAACATCCGTCCGAAGCGGACAGTACGAGCTGCCTCTCTGACTGGAGGGGGACTACAGGACCTGCATGTCCCGGTCACCACAGTCATTTTAGGGCGGCCACCCCTCCCCTGCAGCGGCATTCACCGGGACAGCAGGCCGGCTGCAGGAGGGAGCTCGGCCAGGCAGGACCCAGGTAACTGTTCAGGATGTGCGTGCGAGGCACCGGGCAGAGCTGTGCGCGTGGAGGCTGGAGTGGGGGTGGGGGGAGTCGGCACGGCAGCCCTCCCAGCGGCTCCCAGCCTCGGCTCCTCCCCACAACTTCGGAAGGTCACGAAGAGGGGTCTCTTCCCTGCACACTATGACCCTGCTCTGCTCTGACGTGGCCACGGCCCAGGGGGCAGCTGGCCTCGGCTTCCCCATCGTGAACAGCTGTTCAGCTGCAGTGTGAGAGCCCGGTCCTCCCGCACAGGTCTGCGACCGGCAGGGCGCCTGCAGACGAGCCACAGGCGGTTCGCACATCTCTGTGCCCTTCCGCTCTGTCACCAACATGCCACCCCATGCGGGGTGGACCAGATTCTGGGGTGCCGTTGAGTGTCTCACTCTCTCTAAAATAGGGACACCCCCGTCTGGGCTCCATAACCCTCCGGGGGACCACGTTTGAGTGGGCCATCAGGATCACGCGTGGACCCTTGATTCTAAGGCGTGCATGGTCCAGGACAGATGAAAACCCGTGGTAAAGGGTCTATGTGTCCTGCCAGCTGCTTCAGACTCACTATTTCCTTCATTACTTCTCAACACTGAAAGCGGAAACAGTCAGGACTTTCATAATGAAAACTTGTAACAGGAACGTTTTTACTTCCACTTCTAGCTGTGACACGGACAAGTCACTGAACCTCCATGCTGCCCACGATTCTCATGTATGAACTGGGAAGAGTCCCGGCCTCGCAGGGTGCGCACCGCAAAGTGGACCCATGAACAAGTGGACCGTGAACAAGTGCAATCGCCCCGAGTCCCCGGCTGACAGGAAGTACTCGGTAAGTGACAGAACGCTGATTAAGAGGGTGGTGGGGATAAAGTTTATCAGAGTAACGTTTGCAGTCAGAGTTAAGGGGGAGTGAGAAGGAGAGACAGACAGACACGCCCGGAAATGAACTTGGTGGCCAAAGGCCATTTCTAGTCGGAACACGTCTGTAGGCAAGGACAGACTGAAGCCAGCCTCTGTGTCACGCACATTTGGTTTTCAATAAAGGCAACAATTTTGTCATAACTGCAACAGACAACAGCAACCCCTCCGGGTGCAGACAGACTGAAGAAGCACATTGGCTGTGTCACAGAAATGTCGCTGCTATAAAAGGTAGTAAAATGCCATAGGACCCTGAAGTGTTGGGTGTGGAGGTAACTTTCTTCAAATCTGAACATATTTTGAAAGCCCTGAATAATTCAAGATGAGTGGAATATTGAGAAAATTTTCTTAATAATAAGAATAGTCATTCCTTGTTGGTCTGTTTTCTGAGATTTTTGACTTTTTAGTACTTTACATGGGATATTCACAGACAGCAAGTGACAGGAAAAGAGTCATTTTGAGTTTCAAAACAATCATTAGCAGCACCAAAAGAAAGAGAACAGAAAATGCACTTGACCTTCTGACACCAATGGCTCCGTCAGAGTCACTGCTGACGAGGGTGAGGTTGGGGGGAGAAAACAAAGCCCGCTTCCCCAGCTGTCACTGTCCACGCCAGTGACATCCTTTCCTGAGGGCAGGGCACTCACCCGCTCCCACTGAGCCGCCTGCACCCTTGGCCCCAAGCGGACTGATCTACTCACCCCCGTCAGCAACACCCACAGTTTCCCGTGTGTGCACTTGGCATACACTGTTCTGCCAAATCGGAATTCTCTCTCATTCTCCCTACTTCTGCCTTCATGGGCCACCTCTGCCCACAGGCACAGATCCAGGGGTCAGCGGCCGAGAGTTGAGGAGGCCAGTGCAGGGCAGGGACGGTCCTCTGCACCCGTGACTCAGAGCAGAGGAAAGCTCGCTCACCCCGCAAACTACCCTGCAATAGAGAGCGGCCAAAGCACATGCCCGTTCCAGGAGCTCGGGGCCACCCAAGGGCATGCACCAAAGGACACGCTGTGGCCCCAGCCATGTCACAGAACAAGGTACCGGGATGAGCTCACGTTGGAGCTGAGCCCGGAGCTGAGGAGAGGCAGCCGTAAAGGCACCAGGGAGTCCAGGCGGTGGCACGGCGGGCGGCCCAGAACTAGGGCGCGCGGCAGGCACGGCGGCCCCGGGTCAGACTGCGGCAGGCACAACCCTCACGTGTCAACCGAGAAAGAGAAGCTGCTGTTCGGAAGCCTCGGAGCCTGACACCTGTCACTGAGGAAGGGGACGTGCTCGGACACGCACTGGGGAGGGGACCTGAGAGGCGCCGGCCTGGAGGAACAGTGGTCAGGGCAGGGAGGGGTGGTCAGACAGACAAACCGACAGAAGACCCGACTCAGGACGTCAGGTAGGAAAGTCTCTGAGGGACACTCCTGCAGGTGGGCCCCACTGGGCTCCACCCCCAACCCCCTCGATGCCAGCACGACCCGCACACAGCTCTGCCGCCGGTCACCACAGGAAACGGCCCTGATGCCCAAGAGGCCGTGCCAGCTCAGCAAAAGGTAAGAACTCGAGCTTCTCTGTCCAGTTGGTCCTGTCGGCTCCTTACTTCACTCGTGACTCTATCTGTCCCCCTGCCCGCTGTGCAGGGATGGCCCACTGATGCCAGCTGGAGCTTTGGGGGACAAGTCTTCAGGCCTCCAGCCTGGGACACAGGTGAGAACCACAGCCTGGTGGCAGAGTGCAGGCCGGAGAGCAGAGCGGCAACGGGGCCAAGCCGAGGCAATGGCACTGTCCCTCCTCCCTGCAGACATGGTGCCCCAGGACAAGACCCGATGCTCGGTCTGTCACCACTCGCCCCTGCCCACAACGGGGTGGCCCTGGGGGGTGCTCAGTAAATACACTTGCCCTGAACTGATTTTCCAGGGGCTGCCGGATGGACTGAGAAGACAAATACTCAGACAGATCGAGAGCAAAACACAGAATCGGCTGCAGGGACGGGAACTGCCAGGGAAGGATGGGAGCCGCCACTCCTGGGTTTCCCTGCCGCAGGTGCAGGCTGCCTGCTCAGGGCGCCAGCACGCCCCCTCCCCACCACGGCTGGCACGGAGGGTTTGGTCAGTCTGCGACTCGGATTCAGTGTCTGACAGGAAGGGGGGGCCGTCACCGGGACCTAGGGCAACCCCCAGCTCCGCTCCCCAGCTTCCTGCTCTGGCAGTCTACTGAGCCCTCATCTTCTCTGCCAAGGGAAGAACTAAGGCGCCTTGTCGTCGCCTCTCCAGTGGCTGAAATCCCATCTCTACTGCTCAGAACCTGACTACCCTCCGGCAACTTTTGAGATGCCCACAGCTTGCCCGGATGCCCTTCTGCCACGAGCTCCTGTGCCCTGCTTGTTCTAGGAGCGCTGCTGCACCATGTCCTGACCCGGAACCCACGCTGCCGAGGCTCGCTGCAAAGACACAGACCACCACGGGCCTGGCGGGCGCGGCAGCACGGCGGGCACGTCTCCCTAGCGTGGGCTCTCTGTTATGCTGCGGCACACTCCTGTTCATCCTTCTTCCTGTACAAACAGCCCAGCATGAGCGTAAGGCCACAGGAGAATAAGCTGACGTGAATTTCTATGTCTATTTACAAAAAGCATGTTTTACATACGTGTGTGTACACACACATATACATACACCCACACGATCCTCCTAGCGTGCTGAAATTTCTAAGTACAGAGGTACGTTTGCATCCATCCATCTACACATCATTAAAAATAAAAAAAAGAGAACTGGCGTCTGGGGGCTGCTTTCGGGGACAGAACCTGCCCACGTGGGTGGCCAGCTCACTGCCTGCAGGGTGTGACCTGAAGACAGACCGTCTGCATTTCCTGTGCCTGTCACTCGCACCCAGCAGGTCCTCAGGCCAGCACCTCACGTCTGCCCCTCCTCGCCCAGCTCCTCAGGCCTGTGCAGGCCCACTGGGCAGAGTTGGCGGTGAGTGACAGGCACGGGAGGAGAAGCCGATGGGGTGGAGAGGGACCCCCAGGTGACACGAGGAAGAACAGCCCACTGACAGACACCTGGCGACTCGGTCACTGCCCAAACATTCCCAGCCCCTCCTGCCAACACAGGACCTGAAGGCCTGGGAGGGTCCCTCTCCCCAAGCAGAGGACGGACAGCGAGAGGAAGACAGAGGGGCCACCGTCCCCAGGCCAAACAGACGCCTGGCTAACAGCCGTCTGTGAGAGGGCCCAGGCCCTCCGGGGTGGCGGTTGCCCAGGTGACGTGAGGGAAGAGGCCGAACGTGAAGGAGAAACAGGTATTTCAGAGAAGTGACACGTGTCCCTGCCTTGATCAATCACCAAGAATATCCTAAATGCAAGGAAGTAAAGTTTTAAAAAACCGAAAAATTAAATGGACTTTGGAAGGCACTTAAAACCCCAAATCTAGCTCACTTTCAAGATCATCATTCAACACACCCTGGCTCAAGACGAGGGGGACCCACGTGAATGGATTTAGCAACGCAAGCCACCCCTGCCTTGGGGCATCATGTTCTTACCAAATGCAAAACTGCCGGACACACTCAATCTCGCCCCGGAGAAGTCCCAGCCTGAACCCACAGAGACCGAGCGTGGGCCACAAACAAGCGCCCACAGCCTCGGTGCCTTGGCACACTGGCCCGGCCGCCCACCTGCAGGATGGACACCGTCTGGGAGAAGTGGTGCTGCTCCATGGTGGACGTGGAGTAGAGGGCGGCCAGCGGGTGGTCGAACTTCTGCAGGTAGGTGTTACTGAAGCCCCTGTGGTCCAGGTCGTGGCACAGACACGCGATCAGCAGCCCTTTGCGCTGGAGAAACAGGGCAGTACACAGACACTCAGAACCAAGAAGGGCGAAGGGAGATGCGGGGGCCACCGTTCACCACGCCTGCACACTGACCTCCACCCTTCAGGTGGCAACACCCTTCTGGGCTCTGGCGTTCTAAGTAATCTAGCTTAGGTTAGGTTCATGGCTGTTCTGCCTGTGAACTTGAGAGCCAAGTTATTCCTGTGTTTCCCCCCTCAACTCTGGGAGTAAGTGTAGGTGGTATCACATGAAAGCAAATGTTCTCATTTACAGATAAAACGGAGCTGCACGAGGAGAGGGCAGTGCCGGTCCTTCGTTAGAAATGTATTCATCGCTACATTCTAGCAGTGCTATTGTTACTAGAAATTACGACTACAACAAGGAAATCATACAGCGTGTGCCAAATGGCTGCAGGGCACAGCAGGAGGCAGGCAATCCCATGGCAGCCACCAGGGGCCACAGGTGCTCGAGGACAGGGAAGCAGGGGCCTCTGGGAGAGGAGGGCCAGGTGGGGGAGTGGTCGGAGTGCATGGCTGCAGGTGAACCTTCCCCAAGAGTCCAGGGGTTCAGGAAGGTGGCCCAGGCACAGGGGGAGAGGACAGAGGAAGACAGAGGAGGGAGGTTGAGGATCACCTAGGCCTTATATTCTGCCTGAGCCAGGGAACGGTGCCAGCAGTTTGTGTATTAAGAGATGACGGCTCCCTTCTCCACACAGACAGATGTCCTCTGAAGCAGGATGCCAGTTTTACGAGACAGGGAGAGGGGATTTGGTGATGGCTCTCCCAGCTTCACTGGGACCAGGTGCAAAGACGCCAGGCTTGGCTGGGCAAAGGGGCCCTGGCACACGGTGGGGCCCAAGCACATGAGGCCGTCTCGGAACCTCCCCGCCCTGAGACCAGAATGCCCAGTGTGGAACTGTCCCCAGGGGTGGAAGACCAGAAACCATCGGTGAGACTCCGCAGGCCCCCTGCCCACCCCACGGAGGAGCGCAGGCACTGCTGGGGCCCGAACTGTAGTTAGCACTCTGGGCGGCCGAAAAGCAGGCCGTGTCTACTCATCCAGGACACGTGGCCCACAGGGAAAGTGCACTTGGGACATGCCTTCAGAAGACTTAATGGGGAAGAAGGGCTACAGAAATCACTCTTTCCTTGGGGGTTATTTTTAGTGAAGGTGGAATTTGTGTATCTACACTTCTTAAAATAATTCAATAAATGCTTGGCAACAGCACTCTACACCATGTGCTTCTACCCATTCACTGAGCCCGACCTGTCCTAAAACATGGCGCACGTCCACACCATACGTGTGTTCCAGACGCGGGCACGAAGCCTGCCAGGCCGCCAGGCTCGGGACGCACGCACCTCCAGGTCGGTGAAGAGCCCGCAGTTGCTCTGGAGGATGGCGTACATGCAGTGCGCCACGGTCACCGCGTGCTTCCAGTTGTGGTACGGGACGCGTCGGTAGTTCTTCTTCACCGACATGATGAAGCGGCACAGCTTCTCCAGCTCAAAGCTGTGGGGAAGAGACACGACAGACGCCGGCCAGGAGTCAGTGCGCTGCAGTGGGTGCCCACGCCTGAACCCCTCCCCGCGGACCACGTGGGTCTCCAGGGACCCGGGCGCCCCAGAGCCTCCCACGCCGCTTCCCAGCCAGTTCAAACAGGAGCCTCGCCAGAGCGCTTCTAACCAGCGTTTCCAAAGAGCACAGCCAGACACACGAACCACAGACATCCACAGGAAGACCACGGCTGTTTTCCTTTCAAAAGGAATCCATTACCTAGGTCCACAAACAGTAGCAAATGACTATATCCTGACACAATCCATGACAGAAGTGACATTCTTGTCATACAGTGTGGTCACTATATCTTATTTTATATTATCATGTACTTACACTCATCTAAGGGGTTAGCAACTTTCTCAATGGACTTCAAAGCAGCTTAAAACAAAAGCCCATTAATAATAAACAGGGCTCTTTGAAATACCAAAGAAATGATCATTCAAAAAACTTCCAAACATACTTAACCTGTATTTTCCCCACTGGAAATGTTTTTTTTTTTAATTTTTTAATTAACAGTCTTGTTTTACCATTAATAAGAGTTTTTGTTTTTTAAAGATTTTTATTTATTTATCTTTAGAGGGGAAGGGAAGGAGAGAAGGAGAGAAACATCAATGTATGGTTGCCTCTCATGTGTCCCCTGCTGGGAACTGGCCTGCAACCCAGGCATGTACCCTGACTGGGCATTGAACCGCGATCCTTTGGTTCGCAGGCCCGTGCTCAACCGACTGAGCTACACCAGCCAGGGCCCCCACTGGAAATGTTCAAATGTCCTTGAACTCCAAGGCATGTCATTCTGAGTGATCCAAATAGCCGGCCCTTCGAGGGCCACCTAAGACCTCACTGAAGCCAGTTACTCCGCACGCAGCCTTTAAACAGTGACTGGTACAAGTCACCGACAGACGTGAAAGAGAATGCAGACGTCGGCAGGAAAATAAACTTTCCTCCTAGAGAAACGGAGGGCCCTGTTAACCACCTAAGGACTGAAGGGCAAAGGAAGGAGAAAACCGCCCCCGAGCACCGCCAGGGCAGGCGGGAAGGGCAGGCACTGGCTGCTGCTGCAGCGCCAGCCCTCGGATGGAAGGACTCGCCTCCTCCTCACCCAGTCCAACTGGAACACGACGTCTGCTGACGCAGACGGTACGCACCTACTCCCAATCACACGTCAACATGGCGAGCAACGATGCTGAGTGGTGACCCACCCTTCAGTGGAATGGCCTCAGTGCGTCCAGCCTCTACTGTGTCACCTGCTGACTAGTGGCTGGGAGCCGAGGGGCAGCTGGGCTCTCCGGGAAATAAGGAAAAGGCCGTGGCTTGGTCTGACAAGTGCGTTAGCCTTTGTGACTTTAAGTATTTAGAAAAAGTCATCCACACGGCACATCTTAGTGATCGAGCACGAAAGCAGCAAGGAGTGTAGGGAGGGGAGGAGGAGGTCGCATTGCCCCCCAGTTCAAACGGGAGCCTGCAGGCCACTCCTACCAGGATGTCCCACAGGAGCGGTGGATCATGTAGACAAAGATGCCAGGCCACATGTTTTCAAAAGGGCCGATGTCGAAGTGGAACCTGAAAGGGAATGAAAAGGCGGCTCAGCTCGTGCCTGAACACAGTCAGCGTGAACACAGTAACAGGAAGGAGAGCGATGTGACTTCCTGTCCGTCAGGAGAGAAACTGGAAAAGTTCGGGAGCCCAGCCATCCCGGCCACCGCGCTCTTGTACGTGAAGGAAATCCCGCATATTCCCTTAGCAGCTCAGTTCAACAGTGGCTTAATTGCCATCACTTAATTTTCTATGAAACAATCTGTTAACAAAGGATGTTGTGGCTACTACCAGAGCAATGAAAAAGTACAAAAACGTTATGAGGAATGATAATACGCATACATTATCAGCCCCAGGTCACTTCTGAAAATCTTCTGTGCGGTTGAATAGTGTTGGCGTTTAGTTATAGTGGGTACACAGGTTATCACAGGTCCTACCACCAGGAGTTACGTGTATTCGCACGGTTAGAAAACAGCACAAAAGCTGAATTAATACTAACTTCTCAAATTTAATTCGCAAATTTAGATTTATATGGAAGTGTAAATTTTTAGATCTCTGGTATTCACTGCCATTTAAATATTAGATATTACATAGTGTAAAGTGTATAAAAGACTAATGTAAAACAGCAACCATTCGGGTTCACTTAAAAATTGCACTTTTAAGTTTTTTTGTTTTTTAAGACCTGGACAAGTTGTGCCCTGATATTTGGAATGCCCTCGGAAGGGGAACCAGCGCAGCGAACACACACAGGGACAGGGCGCCAGGACCCCAACCCTAGGTCCCTCCTCCGTTAGGGCGGCCGCCCGGACTCCGCGCACTCGGGGCACTCACAGCTCAATCTCCTTGCAGAGCCGCCCGGGCAGCGTGAAGCGCATGAGGCCCTGCCACTCCTCCGAGGTGCAGATGCTGTGGTAGGACAGCTTCTCCATGGTGACCCGGTAAATGCACTCCGAGTGGCGGATCCGGTGGTACATCTGGGCAGCAGACCCCGGGAAGAAAGCGCATGTCACTGAGGCTCGGCATTCAGTGTGGAGGCAGAACTGCTATCAAAACCGCTATTCCTGCCGCCTTTCCTGTCCATTTCTACCCATTTCCCTGCACGCTGCCGATGGGATACAAACTGCTGACCCGCTTTAAAAGAACCCTGTAGCACGTGTCTCTTTACCAGACGCTCTGCCTGGCAGGCAGCGAGACTGCTGGGGACCCTGCGCCGAGCCTGACTCAGGGATGCCCAGCTGTGGGACCTGGGGAAGCGCAGGTCTGCAGGGTACCAGCAGCCTGTCCAGCTGGGTGTTCTGTTAGGGCAGCCTGGACGGGTGCGGACGGAGACCAGATGCGCCAGGAGGCAAGCTGTTTTTCTCTCCTTTCATTAAGTTTTATAAAAACATATTAATTTCAGCCTTCTTTTAAAGTATTTAATTCTTAGGGACCTCAAAGTCCTCTAGTCCAAGGAGTCTCTAAAAGGTTTGCTTGTGAAGTCTTTGTTGGCAAAGAGTTTTGGAGATGCGCGCCCAATAAATGTGCGTTCCTTCAGCAACTGCAGGCACACGCACTGTGCTAATGTGCGATTTACAGTAGGAAACATGCACTAAAACAGACACTTACAAAAGTATATATTTTTTGTTTTACTTAATGAGACTTCTTGTTTTTACTGAAAAATTGCGTATTTTAAAATAAAAACACTGTAAAGAACTGTATATTATCAGTGTTTAATACCTTGTGAAATGGTGACATTTGTGTCTGCTTCAGTTTAATTTACTTCAGTGCTCGGATGTTCAGCTGTAATATTGAGAAAGCTGTGCCAGGAAGTGCACGGAACCAAACGGAACGAGAGGTGGTCCTAGCTGTTCGTAAACATCCACTTATAGTTCTGTTCCCTAACAGGTAATATTTTGGTGGAAATTAAGATACATTTCTATTTTCACTAATGTCAACCAGTTAATACTGAAAACTGGTCAGCTGAATCCTTTTAAATGGGAGTGGGCAAAAGTAGGTTTACAGTTGGGAGTATTCGAAACAATTTAATCTTGTACTATTATTTACTAAGTATTGTAGTACTTTTCCATAGGAACAATGGTAAACTACTTTTGCCAGCCACTGTACTATCAAACAGGTTCAAAACAATGAGACAACTTGCAAATGTCTGTTTCCAGAGTGCTCTCTTTAGGACATGCGTTTATTTGGAAAAGCAATTGCTTTCTTTTCCATGTTAATGTCACTCACTCTGTGGACTTGGGCAAACTGAGCTCTACAGGTCCATTTTCTCAGTGGGAATGATGAGAACCTCACTCGAGGCCACAGTGAGACTGAGTTTAGAGCAATGCCCGCCCCAGAGTGAGGGTCAGAACTCACAGTGGTCACCGTTTGCTCACTGCCTGGTGCAGAAAAGAGACTCAATACTTGGTTGCTGAGCTCAGGAATGACTACAGGTGGAACCATTTATTAAACTCATCCTAGTCGATTGCTTTCATCCTCATAACGATTTTGTCCACGTTCCTTTAGCGATAAGTGTCTTCTGATCCAAATCACCTGCTCTTGAGGAGTCCTCTTTCTGGGCAAAAATATACAGCAGATGCTATCCTTCTTCCTGCTGGCTTTCTGAATTGCCCCTAATTGTTTCTTTCAGATTATAATACATATGAGAAAATTAATTGATGGTTTTAAAACACTCTCCGTCTTTTTAAATGGTTATCTTTCCATCGACATACCATCTGTTATTTGTTAAAAATGAAGTGGAGAGGTTGATCAGAAACCCCGGCACCCCCTTTATCCAATAGAAGGGGTGAAACCGCATAGAATCACAGGTGAATGCAGACCAACAAAGATGCAGTGAGTGTTTCTAGGGCCACATGCCAGCCTCTTGAACGAGCCTCTTAACCGAACAAGCCCACTGAGCTGAATGACGGTGAAAGGGCTGCTCCGGGACCACGATCGGGACTAGGAGCGATCCGCACATAGGAGACGTGCTCCCGTCTAGGACACGACAACCTGCTCAGGAGCAGCAACACCTGCGTTCCCAGGACCAACCCACTGGTCTGACTCAAGAACAGCCAGCTGCAGGCAGGAAGCTCTTCCATGTGCAGGATCGAAGTGATGGCCTGTGCCTGGGTCACGCCACAGCCAGCTCCTTAGGGAAGAGCAGGTTCCAGTGACTTGTGCTCTTACATTCGACGGTTCTTTGGGACGCCTCCTAGTGTGGCTGTTTCCATCACGTGCCGATGAAGCTCACACGGCACGCTAGTGTGACATGTACACCACACTGCGACGACCCCCATCTTTCACACTCACTGTAAATGTCTGTTTGAGAGTGTTATCTTATGGTAATTATTAAAATGTTTAAAGCATAATTATATCAGAATGAACTTTTGTAGGATAATAGGAATACATGTCCACAGAGATGCTAACTTGTCCAATCGTAAGAGCTTCTCATTGTTTTTTTTTAAATGGACTGTACAGGTATCAAGTTGCTACAATACTCACATTCCATTAAATTCACTTAAACGGTGATAAAAATCAATATTCCAAATATATTGGAAATTATATTCTCTGCAACTTTTAAGCTAAACAAATATACGCTGTCACCATCTTTATTAATGAGAGAGACACAGGAAATGTTTGAAACAAAAAGATATCTGAAAAGTGCATCTGTTTTTTCCAGGAAGCCAAGCAGCAGTGACTGTCCCCAGTAGAGGCCCCCGGTGCCACCAAAAACGACAAAATGTGTGCTCACAAAACCGCACCTGTCGAGCTGCAAACCGCTGTCTCCAGTCGCTGACATACTCTTTTTCCCCATTTCTGTTCCTCGCCGTCCTTAGGCTGTTTCCATTAGTTATCATGTTAATCCTGCAAAACTCGTTCTATTTCCCAAGAAGGCAAGCAATTTCTCTAACTGCTAAGGTGGTAACTCCCATTTATACTGATTGAGCTTTATAAAAAGGTTAATAAAAGTTTCCCCAACTTCAAAATTCCAGTAGTATCACTGAAGGATCACTAGAGTTTATAGCATACTAAATGCTCAAGTCATTTAAAAAGACTAAAATGTAAAAGAAAGAAGATAAACTCAACTCCTTCAAAGTGAGAGTTCATAAACAGCAGCCCATTCCGTCATTCAGTAAACAGGCGAGACTGCCGTGGGGACTCCTAGGTGACGCCCAGAAGCCCCTGACAGAGCAGCTGGGCAGCTGCGGCCCTGTTCCTCTGAGCACCTTCCTGGTCGGAGTTCAGCACCAGCCTCACTCCTTGGCACGAGAGCCGCACACACCGTGTGCATCACAGGCAGTGAGGGGCCGGGGAGCAATTTCCTTGTTCATTTTAGCAGGTCTTGTGAAATGCAAACCTGATGCCTGAACAATTTATTTAACTTCATTTTTTAAAATAAATTCACACCTTGAAATAAATGCGAACACTAGATTGTTTTCTTCTAAGGCATTTTAAGGCTTCCCCTAAAATACGAGCCACCAGGAATCACTGCTTTTGGTTTATAAAAGAAACTTACATGGAAAAGGCCCTACACTACTTGACTGGAAGGGTTTTACCATTAACACTGAGTGGTGAGACACGTGTTTACAACTCCTCCCTTACGTTGGCACAGTGTAAGGCTAACGCGCAGAAGACAGCGAACATCTTGAAGTTGTTCTCATCCGTTTTGGAGAAGGCACTGCCGCTGACTTTGTTCACCATCTGCACCACGCCGATCACGCTGCCGCGGCTCACGATGGGCATGCACAGGATGTTCCGGGTGGTGTAGCCCGTGTACAAGTCCACTTCTCTGGGCGGGGGGGGCGCGCACAGCAGCACAAAGGAAACAAACAAGAGACAGATGGTAAATGACGCATTCTATCCTGCGTCTCATCAGTTTTGCAATTCTCACACTTCTGTCACAACTAACTGGGATGGAACTGTTACCTTCTAAATTCAAGGGCCATGTGGCATCTGAAAGTGCTTTATTAAAACCTTCCCCAAATTTTTCTAAGCAATTTGTTCTTTTGTTTTCAGGAGTTTTTTCAGAATGGTATCCAGGAAGCCTTTGGCTTCCTGACTGGTTTTAAGTATGCAGCATCATGAAGAAAACTCAAACCGCCAATCCAGAGAAAAACACAGCAAGTTGGTGAAAGAGCGTGACCCTTCGACCTCGCTCACGGTTCGGAGGGACGGAGCGTGCTCGGCAGACATGAATGGGTGCAGGGCTGGGCCAGCACCAGCCCCTCCTGCCCTGAGGCAGAGCTTTCCTAGGACACAGCCATGTCACCGCTCAATGGACTGCCAGCGGCCCTCACCAGAGGCGCCGTGACCTCCCACGCCAGGAGCACTCACTACCCGATTCCTGACAGGAAAGGCAGGCTGACTGATTCAGAGGAGGTACTCCGCCCAGAGGTGGCCAGGAGACCGCAGGCAGCGGGTCAGGCGAGCCCGCTGGGCTGTGCGGCCCCTCGGCTTCTGAGCACCGCCCAGCCAGGCGGTGCGCGCAGAGTGGTCAGGCCCCGTGACTGCCGAGCACCACTCCAGGGTGTGGAGACATCGCATCTTATGTGTCCACTCACCAGGTGATGGGTGTTGTGACTCAGAAAGAGCCATACACGTGACTTACAGATACATCTGAGTGGGGCGTGTTCACAATGCTGTCACTGTTCTCGGCGAGATACCACATTGTGTTACATATGATGCGCACCCACGTTTTTGTGTGCATGGTACACAGGATACTATGCCCATAGCATGTAATCATTATACCCCTGTATAAAGTGTGTCCGCATTTTCCCCTCCGAAGTTTGGGCAAAACGTACATGTGATACACAGCACAACATGGTACCCAGCAGAGGAGCTGGGTCCAGTAATGCTCAACATTACAAGAAAGCAGGAAACTGCTCTCCACGCAGCTGTGCCACCACCCGCTCCCATCAGCCAAGCCCGGGCCCCCCGGGCCTCCGCTTCCTGGCCAGCCCCTGCTCACGGCCACCTTTCAGAACTGCAGCCCCTGGAGCTGGTGAGCAGCGGGCCCCACTGTCGGTTACTTTCACGTGCCCCACGCTGAGTGTGCGGCCCCGTGTTTGATGGCCGTTTGTGTCTCTTCTTCTGGGAAGTATCTGGTGAAATCTTGTGTCCCATTTATCTCAAATTGGGTTAACTTATTATTAGGTTGGAAACGTTATTTATATATTCTGGGTACAAGTATTTTGTCAGACTTATGTTTCATAAATATTTTCTCACAATCTGTTCCTCGCCTTTCATGTTTTCAATAGTTAAACTCTACATTTTTATATAAAAGTTTTATCAAAGGATATAAAAGTATTTTCAGTATTTAAGCACTAAAATAAGCTTAGGTTTCTTTTTAAAAAATTAAGATCTTTGGCATACTCTTTACCATTAAACATATAAGTAGGAGATATCTGTGCTTAAATACAGGTTGTGTATATTTGACATTATCAAACACCTGATAAAACATCCTATTATTTATTTTATTTCAGTGTCTCTTAAAATAAACTGAGTGTTTGATTTATCTGAACGCTCTGGACAAAATATCTGAACTACTACTCCTGAATAATCATGGCATCAATCTTAAGACTCAACTGCTAGAGACTTATTAAAATTCCATTTGCACAATTTGGCTTCTGGTCCTCCAGAGAAACTCAGAACAGGACCACATCTCTGTGACTCCAACAACACCCGATGAAGCTGCAGTGTGTCCGGTTCCTACTGGGTGTGTCGTCAGGTGTCGCTGACAGGCATGTTATGAATATGTCCTCACATCTTGAAAGTGAGAACAGAACTACTAAAGAAGCTTCACTGTACCCAATTTAAAATGGGGAAACAGGCTCAGTGACCGAGTCACTCGCTCCAGTCCCTCCAGAGCTGACAAACGAGCAAAGGTAGGCCCCACCCCGTAGGACGAGAGGCAGAGGCAGCTGCGTACCTGTTGAAGCGTGGGTCCGCGTAGGCGTCTGGGATGTTCAGCACCTCCCCCGTCCTCGCGACCTGCCCGGCAATGCCCTTCTCGATGGAAAACCTGCGCACATGGAAGACAGGGCAGGAGCGTGAGCACACAGGTGTGTGACACAGTCTGAAACGCCTGCTGCCGCCCACAGTGAGCGGGAGGGCACTGCTGTGCTTGAAGCGCTTGTGTTAGCTTTACATTTACGCATCTAAGTCATCCTATTATTACAAAGCACACAAAAGCAGAAAAACATTGCAGAGTAATCACTGAGGAACCTTGATTTAAGATGTAATTCAAAATATGAACTTATACTGAATCACAAACTGAAACTGAAGAGTTAATTAGATTCTCCCGCACTGATCAATAACAGTCCTTTATATTGGCAAAATGCCTTCTGATTCACAATGCACTTCGACATAAATTCTCTCAGTTAATTCTGTGGTGGGAACTGAGGCCTGTGTGGGTTCAGTAATTTGCTAAAATTGCTAAAATTCCTGAAATACTGATGACAGAAGAAACACAATGCAGGTTTCTGACAGTGGACTTCCCACCACATCTAAAACCGAGACCCTGGGGATGTCTGATCGTGAGATGTGAGGCAGGGCTGGAATTTGAAGGCACCTGCAACACAGGCAGTGTATACCAACCACCCAACTTGAAACTCCTAGTGTTTTTATTTCTCTAATTTGTTCAGTGGAAAAGCAGTCAAAACAAGCGTTATCTAAAGACAATTATGTTTTGATGTTTAATATCAACATTTTCTATTACAAGTACGTTCTTTCACACAGTTTTCTGATTACAGTATTATCAGTCACCCACTCATTTCGAAATTCAGTTAACAAAGGTGTCTATAATCCACACCATCCACATACTTCAATGCCTGCAAAATAACTTCCATAACATTACACTTTGAACATAACAGGAGGTCATCGTGATTGAGACGAGGCTCCCCTGTAAGGACGACACTGAAGACACCTGAAGGGAGCCCACTGCCGCACACAGCGCCCTGCCCCGGCGTGAACTACGTGGCCCAGCCAAGCCGGCTGCCGCGAGTGCACGCCAGAGACCTGTGCTGGGCAGCCTGATTGAGAGCCTGATTGAGACTTTGCTCCCCACCCTAGGTGGCGGGCCACCATCCGTGGCAGGGCCCAGGTTAGCTGCCAGGGTTCCCACAACCACGACCCCTCACTGCTGCCCGCCTGCCGCACTTCGAGGGAGCACGGGACCCCTGGTGTAGCAGAAGTGACCATTCCCAGACTGAGGTCTAAACACAGACCGACCAGAACGCTGAGAAACAAAATGTAACAATGACAAGCTCGTGCCTGGAGGCCAGCGTTCTGTGAGTGTGGGGCACAGGACAGACCCCCCAGGACCAGAACAGGATGTGCCGGTGGGGGGCAGTGGTAAGGCACCTGCCAGACCCCACGGTCCCGTCACACCTGGCTAGTCCCCTCCCCTGACAGACGGCCCAAGTGGACAGCGGTCCTTCATGAACAGGGAACAGTGCTTTCCCAGGGTGGAGGAGTGACCAAGGCACTCTAGAGCAGGCGTGTCCAAGCTTATGGCGTCTCAGGACCGCCCTGGAAGAAGAGTTGTCTTGGGCCACACATTAAATGCACTGTAATCACACCAAAATCTCATCATGTTTTAAGTAAATTCACAATTTTGTGTTGGGCCGCATTCACGGCCATCCTGGGCCACGCACGGCCCACACGCCACAGGCTGGACAACCCTGCAGAGTGTTATGTGGAAAGTAGTTAAACAAGACATGTAAAGGGGAAAAGAAGCAAACGTCTAAAAAAGGTCAGTTTCTGAATGTTAAGCTCGATTCTCTAAAGTTCCGTGACAGTGCTCCTTGCAGGTGTTCAGACTGTGACATGCTGTTCATCTGTAAGTGACAAAGGCTGCCACTTACAGAATGAAGGAGGCGCGTCAAGTGACACACCGAACCGACTGCTCCGTCAAAGCAGCAGGTGTAAACGTCATCCGACACCGCAGGCCAGGCCCCACCGTGGTCTGGACGTTGAGACAGCCCCAGTGGCTGGGGAGCGGTGGGCACCCGGTGGTTTAGACACACCCTGCTCCTGGACACAGGAAGACCTACAGACCCCATCCAGGTGGGGCACACCTTTACCTACCTGGGAGCACTAGTAAGTTTTTCCAACATGATTTCCAAAAGGACCGCCTCCGGAAGACGGCATTTCCAGGAGTGACGCTAAAGCTTCCTAGGCGCGGTTTCGCTGGCACTGCAATGTCATTCCCAGAAGCACTACCTTCAGGAGGCGGGTCCTGGTGGGAATGATATCACAGTATGACAAGCACTGTCAGCGCACCTGCGAAAGGCACAGAACAGTGGGTGACAGGACACCTGTGCAGCCGCACGCACAGCACACGGACAGGCCATGCCTGGCTGTACCTGATCTCTTTGGTCTTCTTGAAGACGGGTTTTCCTTCCTTCTCCTCCCCAATATCAAAAAGGTCCGAATACAGCTCCTTGTTCTTATGGTCCACCTGGAAAAGTGCACAGCGGTCTGCATTCACCAGGTTTTTTGCATATATCTGAAGACAAACAATAAAGCAAGACAAGCCAATGAGAAACTCAAAGAGTGTCCAGGTAAACGTCATCACACGTGAATACTGATTTCAGCTTTCCTATACTCTCATCGGGTGGGGAATCAGCACGGGAGCTGACGAAATCAAGGCATGTACACATAAAACATAAAATCCATGGTCACCACTGCGGGCCAACACAGGCAGACCCCAACCTGGCCGGACAGATGGCTGCTGGCCTCTCCGCCACATGCTGGACACTGACCTACAGCTCACCCCTGAGCCGACCCTCACCCCAGTTGAAAATCCACGTATAACTTTTGACTCCTCAGAACATAAGCACACCAGCTGTCTCTTGGTATCCATCCACAGGGGACTGGTTCCGAAAGCCGCAGATGCTCAAGTCCCCGACATACCAGCCATTTTCAACCGGCACGCCATAACTTTAAAGCACGCAGTGCCTGACTATTTAGTTAGGGCCATGGACCTCTTTCCTGAGACTGTCAAATAAAAAATGACAGCCAACACAGCAACAGCTGTCTGGTGTGAATGAATCAAAATTATTCCTAGTTTTTGTCAGATCGGCAGAACTTTAGTCACCAGTTAGTTTCTGAGCAACACGAGATTGAAAAGGTGGGAAATCGCTATTGTCAATGGCTCAGACCAATGGCTGCCCTTGCCAGTCTGCAGACTGACTCCCAGCCACAGACTGGAAACAGCACAGGTGTTTACTGGAAAACACCCACGTCTAAGTGGCCCTGTGCAGCTTACACCTGGGTAGTTCACAGATGAACTGCAGTAAGACCCTTCAGTACAGGGAGGAAAGCGTCCAGTGCTCTGACCCCTACAAGTCTCTGTGCCACCCGGGGCCCCTCTCCCCGCTCCACGCCACGGGCTGAGCCTCTGTCCGCTCCAAGGGAGCTGCGTTCTGACCGGCTGGGGTTGGTGACACACCAGGTGTGAACAACGTGGAATGCAGCCCCTGACGGGACACGCCGTGTCCCGGCTACACTAGCTGCATCTTATTCGCAGCACCGAGAACAGTGGGCAGCGGTCACGGGGCGGTCAGTGAGCCCCAGGCACTCCGCACGCACCCGGAGCGCAGTCGCTGGACCCTCCCAGGAACAACACGCGGTCGGGAACCGCTTCTGCTCCCACTGCGCGCGGCTCAGGGGGACGGAGGCCCTCACGTGGCTAGTAGCCAGGGGCCCGGGTATCTGAACTCGACCCAGCCATCTCAGAGGCCTAGGCTGTGCTGGCAAATACACTCTTCTATTTCTGGATGAAATAGAAGGTTCACTTCATCACCTTCTATCAACTGCATTCCACAAGCACTTCCCTAAGGCCTGACCGGCCGCTGTGCCCCGCTGGGCGGGCCTGCAGCAGGCAGCGAGCGCTGAGTTAACTTATACTGAGAATTCTGGCCGCCTCGCCTGCCAGCTGACATGAAACTCCTCCTTAGAGAAAAAGGAGAATAACAGGTGTCCCCAAGCTCACTCCGGAAAGACAGGAGCCGCCTTGTGGTCCAAGGACAATGGGTCGTCTCGTACAAAGCCAGCTGATGGACCAATCAAAAGGAAGCCAGAGCAGCCAGGTGCCCAGCTGGACCCTGGAACCCCCTCACGCTCCAGGTCACTGTCATCACTCTCTGCTGCTCTCGCTCGCTCACTTGCTCTGCCAGCCCCGTTGGGCCTCAGCGGCCAGGGACTGAACAGGCTAGCACTGCGAGCATCACAAGTTCCAGCCGCCTCGTCTCCCCCATTAGCCCGCGAGCTCCGTGACAGCAGAGATGGCTACTTCCCCGCACAGTGCTCCACAGGCCAAGAACGCGGCCCAGAGCGAAGGTCAGCTGAAGCCCACAGGCCACCTCCGGCCACTGCCTGCTTTCGGAAGTGAAGGTTCGGGGGACACTGCTGTGCTTGTTCCTTTGGGCACTGCTGGGGGCCGCTGTGATGGATGTGGCCCGTGAAGCCTATCGGCCCTTGACAGAAAGTGTGCCCGCCCTGAGGTGGGAGCACATAGGACCTCCACAACCTGAGACCTGTCACTGAGGACCGTGGGAGGACACAGGCAGAGGGCTCTGAAGAAAGGGCGGGGCTGCGCTGCTGGCAGGAAGGGAAGAACCGCCCACCTGTCTGGCTAAGCCCGAGACCCGGATCACTAAACAGTAATGATGGCCCTGCACTGCTGAGGGCTGCTAGGTCATCTGCAGCGAGCTGCATCCCTGGTGCCCAGGGTCATGGCAGTTGGTTGACACTCTGTCACATGGTCACGCTAATAATTATAAAAGCTGGGTGAAATGAACAATTTCTTAGAAAAAAAGAAAGAAACTTGGGAGTTGAAAAGTTGGGATAGGTGCACTCAAAAGGCAACTAGAAAGTTGTCAAAAAATGATATACATAAAAGTCATAGAGCCCAAGTGATTCCAAGTATAAAATATTTAAAGAATTTTTAATAAATAAATTCTTACCCAATTTACACTTTTAAGAATAAAACTTCTCCAGTTATTTTTGCAACCCTTATGTCAAAGATATTAGAAATCAGCAAAGATATTATAAAAAGGAAAATCACAGACCAATTTTCCTTGGAAACAAAAGAAAAATCATAAATAAAAATAGCAACAAAATCAAATGTAGGAATAAATTAAATTACAATATTTTAAAGTTATACTTTAGAACTGTTCAGTATCATTAAGCCTATTATTATAATTATAAATCGCGAAAGGAAAAACAAAAGTCACAAAATTATCTTTGTCAAAAATTTATGTAACACAATTCAACAATCATTCATGATAAAAACTTTTAGCAAAATGGAATAGAAGAGTATGTCTCCTGATGATGTTCCTGAAAACAACAGCCAACCTCACGGAAAATGGTAAAGTATCAGAATCATCCCATCAAAGTTAAAGCAAGACGAAGACGTGTCACTGTGCTTATTAACTCATGATTAGGTGAGGAAGAAAGGAGAGCATATATCCTTGAAGAGGTGAAAACTTTACTCTTTGGTGAAACTGTTACTGAAAATGCTGAAAAGTACATGGAAAAGCAATTACAGGCGGCAAAGAAAGGCCCTGCTGGGAGCGCCTGACAGCGCACTCACCTTTCTCTGCCCGGAACTGAACAACACCCACAGCCGCAAAGGAGTTAACGAAGAAGCCCTAGAGACGTACTGATAACATACAGGAACCTGAACCAGCTCAAGGCAAGTCTGTGTCTGAGAGAGAGGCGTCACTCAGCGAGCGGCAGAGGGGGAGGGTCACCAGCACCGCCCAGAGCGCTGTGTAAAGCATGCAGCCATTTATAAAAATGGACTCAGCACAGCCGCCTGGCCACAGGGCCTGTGGAGCAGTGGGGGCCTCTCTGTTCCACGGGGACCAGGTGGTGGCGGGCTGCTCCCGGCATTCAGAGCTCACAGGTTAGAGGGGCTGGGCGTCTGCAGTGCTCAGGCCAATCCCGTGCAAGAAGGGGTATTCTGCCCAACGTGCCACCCCTCCCTCACTGGAAAACACCGGACTAGAGCAGCTGCTAAGCCAGCCAGGTAAAGAGCACCCAGCCTCGATCTACAAGAAGCACACGACCTCATCTGTACTGCCACAGGGCCTTTCAAACAAACCTACCGCCTCGCCCCCAGGATATCCTCCACCCCGGGCTATCTTTTCAAACACAAACCTGCTTTCGTCCCTCTAGCTCACAGTCCCGCTGCCCACAGGCCTGGGCGTGGGTCTCCGGCGGCACTCCACCCCTCCTCCCTGGAGTGCACCGCTCCCCACGCCCCCAGGACCTTGGTGCGGCTCCCTGGGCTCCCTGGACTCGGTCTCACCCTTCCCGCCACTGCACTCTGCTCCTTCCTTCCCCGCCCTCCTGGGGCCACACCTGATGGTGCGACTTCATCAGCGTCTGTCTGTCCTCCCCCCTCCCACCACCCCCCGGACAACCAGCCCGAGGGCAGGACAGGAAAAGGTTCACCACCTCAGAACTCCAGCTGCCACCTGGATGGGAATGTAACAGATGCCCAAGATATGTCTTAGCAGAAATGGACAAATGAAAACCTGAAGGGACCAATGCCATAACAGAAACTGGAAGGAGAGCCACAGATCTGTCTCCCAATTAGGCCGCATGCTTCCACAGCTGACTTGTGTCAACCCTGGAAGGGACAAACGACTCGCCCGTTCCACCGAGCAGTGGGCTGTTCCTCGCTTCTGCCCCAGACCCCCCACTGACCACTTCCACTGGATGAGGAGTGTGCTCTGAATTCCACCTCACTAAAAAAGTTTTCAAGACATTAATAATATGAGGACTAGTCAATAAGGGTTTCTTGTATTCCTAGTATGAGCTCTGTCACTCTACATTACGCCCTCATATTTCCACATTCTTCTAAATACTTTTCACTTCTTTAAAACTTCTTGAGTCTTGTCATAATGAAACAAGTTGTCTTTTACAGTGCAGGGAAGCATTCTTCTTCTTGTCTACAAAGCACTATCCATGTGACTGATTATTGAAGAAATGTGCCGAAAGTAACAAGACCTGATGTCACTCCGGTCACCCTCAGTCACCTTCTGTCTCCCGGGACACTGACCCTGCAACACCCCACACTCTATGGCTCTGAGATCGGAGAGAAAGAGGCCAGAGAACAGACACCATGAAATCTGGACACGAGGCAACTCCTTACTGGACAGGACTGCCATATATTTGCAGACAACCAGGAAAGCAAAAAGGAGAAAGACCATTCATGAAAATACACAACAGGTGTAAGTGGTCACCCATGGGGGACAGCACATGTCACTCTGACTGCCAGAAGCCACTGCTGCAGCGAAGTCTTGCCAAAGCACCGGAGCGGCCAGGCAGGGAGACGTGGATAGAACCCCATTTTGGGTGGCCTTTGGCCCCTCATGCCCTTTGGCCTTCTCGGAGACGGGAGGAAGTCAGGCTGAAACTGACTCAAGGGAACTACCATGTGGGCAAGACTTGGGTGGGGATTCCCAATACCACCTACACGCAAAGGTGTTCTAAAGGCCATAAAAAGAAACCAAAGGTCTTCAAAACTCACCGCTAAGTACTGAAACACTGAGGTATTTTTCAAAACATTATTCCAAACCCTCCAAGATGCACAGTGACGAAAGGAAACAACCAACCCGGTCCTGCAGGCCACTGCTCACTCACTGATAGCAGCGCACACATCACACACGCTTCAGTCCGTCGTCCCAACCTGTGTTGGACATGCATCGAAGGCCAAACAAAAGCGTTTACAAAACAAGGCCACATACCATTATGTGTTCAAGCAGAGAGTCTATTGCGACTATGTTATCAAAATATGTCCTGAAAGAAAGGACATAAAACATGTCAGTAACCTTATTGAGGACACCGAGCACATTAAACTCTGAATACATTTACCCGTTTTGTCTACGTTTAAATAAAAAACAAAGATGTGTATGATTTTTGTCATCTTGTGGAACAATCAATAGCGTTATTTTAAAGAGATAAATGCAACTTTATTACTGACTTCAGTATGAGGATTCTAATTCCAGGGGATGCGTTAAATAGCTATTTATTGATAAGGACTGATGTGGAAAGTTTGTAGTATTTCACTAAAACTACAAAAGAATCCAGTGTATTGGGTTCACATTTAGCATAATCATTAATAATTTTGATCTGAAATGCAAATATTAAGCTAAATCTCATTTACATGGTTAAAATGTAAAGTACCACTGAAAAATCAAAAAGTTCCAATGCAGTGAAACTGTGCTGAGAAAGGCACCAAGTTCACCTGGGAAGAAACAGCAGAGCACAGGTGGTGATAAGGGCTATTACGCAGCGAATTCGTATTTGTCACTATGAACAGCTGGGAAACGTTTGGGAGGCAGCTGGTATATACACGAAGTGTGAACCTGAAAACCAGATGAACTTGCAGTCGTGTGTTGTAGGGACGCAGTGTACAAAGGAGTCTCAGTGGGAGTCAGTGAGCAGGCGCTTCCAGCACAGGCTTGGGTGGACTGGGCAGCGCACTCATAACTAAGGGAACACAGCAATAAACAACGCCTTTCACTTAAACACACGTTACCTAGCGGGACTACACTAAGACTTGGAACATGCTCACGACTGTTCACTGCGGAGCACACGGCAGGAAAGGTGGCCAAGCCAACGGATTTGGAGCTGCAGGATAAACCGGAATTGTCACGTGAGGGGCTGAACCAGACTTTGGAGAAAACTTACAAGAACGGGAGAAGGTGAATGGCCTGCCTTGCTCTGTGTTATGAAATAATACCATGTGCCCACAGCTGTTATTTAATTTTCTCTCAAAGACAACAGTTGAATTAGGGGGTCAGAAGAGGCTTCATTCAACCCCACATTTCCCTAGTTTGGTGTTTCAGAAAGTAGAGCAACACAAGGCAGCAACCTCGGACCAGTGAGCCACAGACGTTCTGAGAGCGACCAGGGCCCAGGGCAGCTTCCTCCCGCGGTGAGCTGGGAGGACAGGACCCTGACCACTCCTGGAGGCCCAGGTAGGTGCCAAAGGCATGCGCACAGGCCAGAAGACGGGCGGTCTGCCCTGTACAGCAGAGCCCACGTGACCCTGGGTCTCACCAGCGTCTGCTCCTGCTTCCATGGGCAGCCCAGGGTGCTGTCCCAGTCAAGCCCTGGGACAGGGGAGCAGCGTCTCTGAGTTAGACCCGAGCTACTCTACGGGAGAAAGCTAAAACAGTAACAACTGGTTTTAACTGGCTGACATTTGTGGGAAATGCCGAGTGGACCTGATGGGAAAAAGCGAGTAAGACATTTCCTCCTCTCCTACTGCAGCTCGTTTTCACCCACAAATCAGAGATGCCTGGCGTCTCCGGCAGGTCCCAGTGAGTCTAGGGGAAAGCAAACAGCAAACTGCAACCTGAACTCAGCACAGAGACCCCTGCACCCTGCGCCTGCAGTGTGAAGTCACAACCGTGGCAGTGGCCTCCCTGTCACCTCCAGGCCGGCACCGAGCCAGCCCTCTGCACTCACTCACTTCGAGACGTCGAGCAGGAAGTCGTTCAGCTCGGTCTGCTTGGCCAGGCCTCTGCACACCTGCGCAGAAAAGAAAGGCTGTTGGAGACCAGAGCTGTTGTCCTCGTTCAAAGTGTAACTCCAGAAGGCTGCTGACCTTACCTTGGCTTCAAAGGGGTCATACGATCACTTAGTTTATAATGTAATAACAACATCAACAGCAATTCTTTTCTTGAATGCTTTAATTACTACACACTTCATATCTGACCTTGGGTGACCCCCATGGAACAGGACGGGGTGGGACTCACTTTCCTGACTGTGGCGTGAGGCCCTTTGGGAACTGCTCAGCCCCCGAGAAATGCAGGCCACGCAGTCGGCCCCCAGAGCTGCTCTTCAGACCCCTCCCCACGCTCCACTACAGACTCCCCGTCAGGCCGGGGCTCCCTGCCCCTCAGACTGGGGGGCCCACAGAGGCCTCCCTCTCCAGCACACAGGCCCTCCACCACCCGCATGGCTGAGGGGGGAGCCAGGAAACGATCAGCAACACGAAGCAGTGGAGGACACAAGGCAGAATGGGACCCTGCCGGGTCCTCACTTTAAACAGGAAACCCGGGCCATCTGTAAACTAGAGCACTTCTTCCAGAGAATTGGGCACCTGAAATTTTAAGATTTATGTTTTCTTCTACCATGTGGTGCAGAGAAGGCTTTAACTCAGGAAATGGAGTCATAAAAATATCATTGTTGTCGCCAGTGGGAGATGGTTCCTGGGTTTTAGTGGAAACACACATCATAATAGGACACCCACCCATTTACTACACAAGGGCTATGCAATTACATGTAAAGACGTAAAATACAGCCAGATACTTAAGACAGAAAGTGAGTCTATTTGAGTGAACAGACACAAACTGTCTAAGACACAGACAGAAAACACAAGGCCCTCCCCACCTGCCCCCACCCCAAGGCCAAGGCAGAGCCCGAGCCCGGAGCAGCCCCCCACCAGGAGCCCTGACACGCCCCAGGCTCACCTGCACCTGGTGGATGGCCACAGAAGCCCAGGCGAGGTTTGCTGTTGCAACCTGACAAACAAGGATGGAAAACATTCCCATTAGCCACGTGCAGACATCCCCACACAGGACACTCGCAGAAATGTGTATTCGGATTTTTCATAGGTCACGGTGCTTTTTAATATTTTGCCAAGCATGGACAAGATTTCTCTTTTACATCCTCCCTTTTTTTACAGTGGAATTGAATGCTTCTGTGTTCCTCTTCATTTTGGATAAAAAGGAAGATAAATGGATTAAGAGAGCTAGAGTCCAATGATTTCAACATAAAATTATTTTAGTTAATATGCATACTATTGAAAAGGCCTCAACCACTCTGAAATGATGGAATGGTTCTCACGCTCAGACAACAGGTTCTCAAGTCCCTAACCACTCACTCAGCCCTGTTCACTGGAGGCACAGCACCAACGACCTCGGGGCTGACTTGGGCACAGAAGGCAGGACACAAAGGGAGGGAGTGCACCGCACACTCACAGCAGCCAGCGTGAGCTCTGGAGGAAAGGAGGCGCCGCGGAGGACGGGGCAGGCACCCTGGTCGGGCAGGCTCAGGCCTCGCCCTGCTGAGCGGGCTGCCTCTCGTTCATCACTATGGGGGTGGCTGGAAATGGGCAGGACGATGGCACCCGAAGGCTCCAGGGCCCCGCGTGCCCGGAGGAAGGGGGTGGGGCAGGGCAGGTGTCACCCCAGACAGTGGCCTGGGTGCAAGCCCCTGGGCATGGCAGGCAGATCACTGTGACACTGGATTTCAGTATGAATAAGCCAATTCCCGTTCAGGGGAGAGGGGATGGGACTCTGGTTTTCAAATAGAGCTGGTGTCGGAACCTCTGTTCAGGACTTACTCTAGGAAGATGACATTTAAAAAAAATGAAGACCATCAGAATGTGAAAACTCTCCAAAGACACCTTCTATGTTGTTTGATTTACAATACGACACACTTTCCTTTTTATTATTAAAATAGACTCTTACTGTAAAAATGCCTGTATTTCCAGTTTAATTATTCCCCTCTCTATGTATTAAGTGCAAAACAAAGTTTTAAAAAAATTTTATCACTATCAGAACACTGTTCATCAGACTGCGGCTCAGTGAACAGCATGCAGGGCACGGTCCCGTCCCTGGCCCGGCCTGGCGGCCCGAGTGGCGGGCCCGGCCTCACCTCCTGGTGGCTCAGACAGAAGGCCTCTTTGCCCCAGTGCCGGTGCAGCTCCAGGATGCCGATGAGGTCACCGATGGCAGTGACGATGGGCAAACAGAGGACGGACTGGATCCGCGTCCCTGACTCCAGCCCAGTGCCTCTTGGAAAGCGTTCATCCTGAAAAATAAAACAGGGCGAGATATAAACTCAGCAAACAAAATGGAATGATGAAGTCGTACCCTTCTCTACATCAGAAATCACTAACACTTTCCTCTCTCACAAGCAGACCTTCGGAGGAGAACCCGGAGGGTCGTGGCCACAAAGACGGACGCTCATCTCCAGCAACAGGGAGCCTACCCTCCGCAAGTCCTGCTTTGACGTTTGCCTTTGCATCTGAGAGTTTAATCAATTAATACATATCGATTTCATGCAATAACACAGTAATTATCACGGCCAGCACTTTAACAGTCATCAACCTCTATCGTGCCAGACTCTCCTCAGGGCTTTGTAAGTGCAAGGGCACAAGGGGAGACTGCTCCAAGGGTAGACACCTTCCCTGTGAAGGGAAGGTGTGTAGAGCCTTTTTCTATTTGGGAAGTTAGAACAACATGAAAGCGGGTGTGGATGACAGTCATTCTAACTGAGACTCGAGGACTCGAATTACATATTCAGATCACCCAATCTATCCATTTTTTATCATAAGAAATGAAATAGGCTCTTTGACTTAAATAATTTTCTAGCTGAGCAAAACCTCTCAAAAGAACACAGGGAAATCAAAAGAAGTAACAGCAAAGCACCAACTCTATTCACTCAGTTTCTGCTGTCCACAGGGTGTTTTTCATGGATAAGAAGAGTACCAATTTATTCTTGTGGTTTACAAACATTTCAAAAGTTTGCATATATAACTGAACATTTCAAATGGCAACTACATAGTGTCCACTTTTAATACTTCTTAAAATTGAACTGCGCTTGACACGTGACAGTGCAGCTGTGAGGTCACAACACGCTGACACGATGACACAGTCACAGGCTGTGATGTGACTGCCACCGCAGCCCTTAGTCAGCGCCTCCATCATTTTCCATAATTACCTTTTCTTTTTGTGATGGGAATAATGGAGACTTGGCATCCTCGTAAGTTTGATAATTATAATACGCTATCGTTGTCTATATTCAACTATATTATACAACACTTACTTTAACCACTTTCCTTTTTTTAAATAAAATAACTAGTTACCCGATTTGCTCGAGGTCATACAAATAGAGGCAGAACCAAAATTAAAACTCAGATTTCAGGGGTCTAATTAATAATTCTTCAGGGCAAAGTCATTCCACCTAGAAACTTGTCTGTGCATCTGTCAGCCGGAAAGGCTAAGTGTGCGTGGCCACACTGCGTTACCATGCTCGCGTGGACAGAGGGAGGCCGAGAGCACACAGAGCTCCAGGCAGTCACGCTCCCTAGGCCAGTGTCCTCTACCAGTGCCCTGAATGGAGTCCAGGCCCGCCCACAGGGTTTGCTTGGGCCACTGAGAGGGGAGAGAATCTGATGTAAGCTTAAACTTGAGAACGTCCACACGCATGTCCTGTCTCTTTCTTGAGCACCCTGCCAGGCTGCCCATGCTGGGGGGGAAGGGCCGGACATGACCCACAGGGACACAACCCACAACCCTCTGAAACCAGCCCGCTTAGACACGGGGGTCCGCAGATGTCAGACATGGAAGCTACCCAGCCAAACAGAGCGCAGAGCAGCAGAAGCACCCGGCTCATAGACTCATGGGAACAGGAGGGCACTGCTGGACAGGAGGACACCAGCAGAACTCAGGGTCACTGTCACATGGCAGTGGCTGTTCACTGACGCCCACCCTGCTCAGACATGGAGCACAGGACAGCCGTCGCTCAGTTCCTACCAAGATAAACACGCATTTGTGTGCTCCCCTACGTTGGTGTGTGTTCAAACGAATTATTCAGATCTGCTCTCAGTGGGTACGTAAGTGATGGATTTCTGAGCACAAAGAATTCATGTACTCACAAACTCATTCATTGACCTATATCTTGCTCTACTGCTTTAATGAAATGCCTTAAATTACAACACCAACAAGGTATATCATCTCTCTTTACCAAACACTGACCACTACAACCGGCACAATGAGGGAGAAGCCACGCACCCCTAGGATGTCTTCCACAAGCAGCGTTTTCCGGGACTTGGCCACATAAGCGGAGGTGGTGGTGCCCTGGGCTATGGGCCCCACAGGGACGAGCCGGGGTCGTCCCTCCTTGATTCCAGGCGGGGTGAACACGCACAGGCTCTGGCAAAAAGAAAGGGACATGCTTTGTAGACTTTGTTGTGCTGTGCAGGGCACAGAGAGACTCCTGGACACAAGGGGACAGTCCTGAGAAGTCTGGGCGCTGAGGAGGAGGAAGGGCCCGGGCAGGGATGGTGCTGTGCCACAGCCAGAATGGAGCACATGGGGTGGACTCCTGCCCACTCCGCCCCCACACAAGATGCAGGCCAGAGGCAGGGCGTGGAGGACTGTCGGGGCACAGACGGGCTGGTGCAGCAGCCTCCTGTGGGGGTGCACACGGAATACCAAAGGGAAGAAAAGGAAGCTGGCCTTGGTCCAGGATAGCGTCACTCAGGAACTTGGCCCACGATCTCAGGACAGGGTCTGGGACCACGTGTCGGAGGGCTTCAGGTAGGTGTTCCATTGTCATCGAAAACCCTCCTTCCCAGAGCATGGTCTCACCATAGGACTCGGTAACTCTGTCCCTGAAATGGGTCTGCCTGCCAGACCACGACCCGGAGCACTCTTGATGAGACCATGCTCTTTGCTGAGTGCATTTTGAACAAGTCTGGACATATCTTCCCCTTTCAAATGAGTGGGTGTGGGGGGGAGTTCTGACACTGCTTTTAAATAAATGTTTTTAAAAATATAATTAGTTATTTTGACTAAATCATATCACATCTTTAAATAACTACCTACTAAATCAGAACTGCTCATCTAAACAAATCATCCATCAGGGTATTCAACCTGCTGGCATCTCTGGGCCGCACTGGAGGAAGACTTGTCCTGGGCTACACATTAACTACACAAACACTAACAAAAACTGATAAGCCAAAAAACAGGTTTTAAGTAAACTTATGATTCCGTGTTGGGCCACATTTACAGGCATCCTGGGCCGCACAAGGCCCACAGACCATGGGCTGGACACTCCTAATTTGGGAGCAACAATTTGACCTGAGTGTACTATGATTACCACTCAACTTGAAACTTACTGAGGCTCGGCGGCTCTCTGGACACCACCTTCACCCTGAGTGGGACTGCTTCCACGGGAAGGTGAAGACCCGTCAAAGCATCCCAGGCGTGTGCGACCCATGGTCCACAAGAGGCCCGGGAGGGCTACAAACTCGACCCAACACAAAATCATAAGTTGACTTAAAAGATAGTGGGATTCTTGTGTGTGTGTGATTACGTGTTGCAATGTATTTAATGTGTGGCCCAAGACAACTTTTCTTCTCCCGGTGTGGCCCAGAGACACCCAAGTTTGGACGCCCCACTAGACCGCCCTTGAAGCTACATAGGCTCCCACTCATTCCTGCCATCGCTGAGCTGGCTCTGGGTGAAGACAGCGAGGTGGGTGACCAAGCTTCGTATGTCGAACAAACCCCCCCTTTTTCAAATACAGTCTTATTTACAACCCACCACCAGGAAGTGAATGAGGCTCTCCCACCGCCGGGGGGGTGACCAGGGGTGAGGAGGGCAGTGCTGGGGCCCCGGCGCCTTAACTAAACCATCCTCTCAGGCGGCTACGTTCCAACAATTTTGTTCCAAGTATATCTGCTGGTACTTCCATCAGGACAGTGGTTAAGTGGTATTTGCCATTAAGTACATACCTGTGGGAATACGCTTTAAGTGTTTCTATTTTAAAATATTTAAATACAAGTTATACACTTTAAAAAGAGTTTAAACATTTAACTATAGAAAAGATGATAAATGACCATTTCACCTTATTTAGTTTTAAAGGGGCCAGAACTCAGCACCCATTTTCAAAGTTGTTATGATTTACTCTTCACCAATTTCCATGCGGCACAGACGGGGTAAAGCTCGCCATCAGATTTACTACTTCACTGTCACGATACACGTCCACGTGTATAAAGACTGAGAGAAGAGCAGGAAAATGCATCCAGAACAGGAAGAGAGATGATTTTGAGACAAAAATTAGAAGGATGAGGTCCCTTTAGCTTGAAGACAAATCGGAATGACGACGATTTTCTCAGACCATGAGAAGCGAATCACGAGGAGGGGGAGCGCTGAGCCGTGCCCTCACAGAGAACGGCCAAGAGTGCGCTGCGGCCCCACCGAGGGCCGCGGGCAGCTCCTCCAGAGTCCCCGGGACGGACTGCAAGCGGCCTGTGCAGCGAGCTCCCGGCTGCAGCCTTTCCACTCACTCTTATCTTGGTCGCTGACTTCGTGGTTTAAAAATACACAGCACGTACCTTTGTTGGATGACTTCGCTACGTGCCCATGAAGGTTGGAGTTAATAATATCTTTAAGTTACACTTAGCATCAGGATTCAACAGTGACAGGGCAGTTCACACATTCCTGTGTTGTCAGGTCATTTACTTCCTATTACAAAACATGTCCCACCTCTGTACAGGGTTCCTATATCACACACACACACACACACACACACACAACAGATAAGCAAACCCTGGACACACCATATATGAAAAGCTGTTCTATGTATTAGTCTTGCTGGAAAAAAAGTGGTTTATAAGTCTTCCAATTCCTTGACTGAATCTAAAAGACTTCTCTTTATGGATAATTATCAAAAAATTAAGTAACTCTTTACAGTGGGAACTTTCTGCTTGTTAACTAGCTCACGATGTTTAATCCTACTGATCAACAGAAAACATGTCACAAAGTGACACCATGCCATGTTGTCACATGCAGGCCGAAGCGAGGGCAGGGGCGCAATGAGGACACCGTGCAACAGACACGCTCGCTGATGTTTTCATGGCCTCCCACTCTCTCCTCTGTGGGAGTGGTTTCCTACATTATTTTGGGATTTTCGAGTTTGGGGTTTTTTTCACTCCATAAAATTCACCCGTGTAAAAACTCCCTTTGTAACAGCCGTGGCTGGTTGAAGGTCAGTCACTGGTCTGAACTGTGTGGTCTCTCATTCACGTTCTTTGTGATCTTTGTAGTCGAGTGGATGGCAGGCAGCTATCACTGCAAAAAGCCAGTGCAAACCCTCTGAATTTTACATGTATTCAAGGATGGGGAAAAGGTCATTAAGCTACTTTTACTTATCTTCCAGTAATTACCAACGGACACTTGTGTACTGACAAATCTTCTCCCCAGTGTGAGCCGCCAGCCCACGCAGACTGACCCGCTCCCCACCCCCGCATCTGTTTCCGAACGGCCTCCTCCGTGCCCTTCGGCTGATCTGTCAACCACACTGTTCTAGTCCCCTTAAGTTTACGGTATGTTTTGGTCACCCGGCAAGGTGAGACTTGCTTGGTTTCTTTATGTTTCAGAAGAATCCCAACTTGTTCCGCAAGCTACAGCTGGTGCTTCTGATTGGTGAGGGGCCTGAGAAGATATGTTAACAAATCGGGGTGCAGAGAAGTTCTAAAGAAATTCACAAAGGAAGTAAGGGCTTTATTTTTCAAAGTCTGTCATGATTTTCGACATAAGGATTTGACTGGGCTGTTGAATTTAGTAAGAAAAATACTGTACATTTCCACAGGATGAATGCAAATCTGAAAACACCACAATTTTAGAATGTACTGACTATTCTGCTCACACTATCAGTATCAAATTTGCCTACAAAACCCTGTTGAATTGAGTTCCTGAAACTGATTGCTGCTCTAATGTTGTAAAAATCTACGAAAACCTGTATTATCAGCACAAGCACTTTTCAGCAGCTAGAGATAAAACCTACAACTAAAAGCGAGGAAAGGGTTCAGGGTTTCAAACCTCAGCCACTAGAGGAGAACTTCACTTGCTCGGGTGCGCGGCGCACTGCGGGGCGGACGGCAGAGGGTCTCGCCCCCACAGGAGGCCTGCAGGCCCCCAGCCAGCACTAGCCCGGCAGCCCATCAACAGCATCCAGAACCCAGGCTGACGAGCCGACACTGAGGCCACGTGGTGCTCAGAAATAAGCCAGGTTCCCACTGCTCACAGATTCATGTGAGCTGGCCCACTTTTCCTAGTAACAGAGAGTTTTCATATACATTTCTACAGTTAGGTGATTCAACTTGAGAAAACTGGCAATGGTAGTTATTTTAACCAGTAGATTGGCTCAGTGAAGAAATAAAATAACTTTAAAATTATAAAAAAACAAAAAACGATTTGGTGGAAAACAGAATGGACTATTACAATTTACTTTAAAACCTACTTTTTTAATGAAATGGGAATATGCGATTCATTAGCATCAACAAATAGACAATTCTACTTCACTTGGTAAACACCTGCTCTCACCTTTCCATTCACAATTCAAAGACCTCTTTACTCATGAAACTTCATTTCTATGTTAAGGCTTTGACTCACAACCAGTTACCTTTTAGAAATACTTTTTAAGATGAAAAAAATTATTTAGGTACACCATTATTTTTATTTGAAGACACTAGGTGGCGCTAGGTAGTAAATGACTAGAGCCCATCCACCTTGGACTGGAATTAGATAAGGAAATTTGCATAATTCCTAAAAATAAACCTACTAATACTAAAGGTTACTGACAACTGAAAAAAGTCACACAACTATGGGAAACTACTGGCTCTAAACTGGCTTCTGAAACCAACAGGTAGGAAGTTATCTATGAACTTACTTTATGTATTAAAAACTTTAGGGTATTATTAGAGTCCTTAAAATTTTCAGCGTCTACAAACTCTTACATAGAACACAAAACACTACAATGACAACATCATAAAGTATGTGGCACAACAGTCAGCTGGAGGGCGTGGCTAGGTATGCAAGAGACGGTAGAAACATTAAAAGTTGAATTAAGCAAAATTTTAACCGTGGAAACATTCGTTTTTTCCAACCAGTGTTCCCAGAGTGCCTTGCACACAGTTAGGTGTCCACACTGCTCCTGGCCAGGACACAGAGCACCTGGTTTCTCCCTGAGCCCAGATGTCTCACAAATTGCTGCTTCTTTCTAAAAAATCCTTTATTTTCCCTTCATATTACTGAGGAAGAGGTCTTCCACGCTCTGCTCAAACCAGGCTAATCACCCAAGCTCTTTCAGTGTGACCCACCCCAGCACCCCATTCAAATGCAGAACCCCAAAGAACCTTGGATTT